GAGAGCATGAGTGAGGAGAAGGTCAGAGAGAGAAGCAGACTCCCCACGGAGCCCGGAGCCCGATGCGGGACTCGATCCTGGAACTCCAGGATCATGGCCTGAGCTGAAGGCAGTCGTCCAACCAACTGAGCCACCCTGGCTAGTGGGTTCTTAAGCATATGGGAGGACTTAACTTGGAGACGACAAACTAGAAATCTGGCAAGGCTTAAAACTATGGCAACCGGCAAGGGAGACATACTTCTGGGCTCCAGCTCCTGTATCACAAGCAAGGCAGAGCAGGGTGGGCATGAACCTGAGCGCCAACACACTGATAGCTAGCACCTTACCCAGTGGAACAGACATCTTAAAGAAACTTTCCAGTTTCAATTCTCTGCACTACAGAGCTTAGAACGGAGTAGGCAAATCTGCACTGAAGAGTAGTTTCCCAAACAACCTGATGAAAAGAATCACCTGGGCCTTTACTAAAAATACAAATTCTCATGGGTACCCCCAGCTAAACATGATGTTTAGTGATGTTGAACATTTTTTTATGTGTGTGTGAACCATTTGTATGTCTTCTTCAGGGAAGTGTCTGTTCACGTCTTCTGCCCATTTATTGAGTGGATTATTTGTTTTCGGGGTGTTGAGTTTGAGAAGTTCTTTATAGATCTTGGATACCAGCCCTTCATTTGTTATGTCATTTGCAAATATCTTCTCCCATTCCATGGGTTGAAAGACTTTAATTTTTTAAAAAGTCTCTTCTTCCTTCTTACTTCTCAATGCCTTTTATATTCCCCAAAGCTAGCCTGGAAGAGCAAACATGCTTTATGATTTATTGAAAAGCTTTTTCTTCCCCCAGAAGATTTTAGTCAGTTTCAGAAGACTTCAGAGAATTATCAGTTTGGCACCTCAAAACACTACCACCCAGTATATGTGGGTGCATGCGTGTGCACGCGTGCGCGCGCGCACACACACACACACACATACATATACACATACACACATATACACATACACAGAGATTATTATAAACCGTTCTCTATTTGTATTCTCTTATTAAAGGAAAACGAATAGTTCAACAAGATCGGAGATATATTTTGTTTAAAATATTAAGTTCTAGAAATAGTAAAAGCTTATCTGTTCATATTATGTTTCACAAATTCACAAACTGATCTCTTTATCTCAAGGAAATAGGCTTTAAGGTTTTACTATATGCTAAATTGATTTTTTGCAAACTAAATAATTCTTTGAAAAATATCACTTTGTCTACTTTATCTAAGTCTGAACTTTAGGGAGTAGGACACCAAATGAGATGACGGGCCCTGACGCACTGAATCTCTACCGTGTGCCAGCTATGCGATACTAACAGCAGTCCTTGATTACCACTGTGAGAGATACTTTTTCCCATCTAGTTCTGATAAAACCCCCAGATTTGTAGTTGAGTACCCTGAGGTTTTGTTAAAGGTCATGAAGCTAATTAGTGGCAGAACTAGTCCTAAAGGACAAACTGCCTTAACTTCTAAGTGCTTTTACTAGCATACTCTCTGCCTCTCTTGCTCAAGTCAGGATACTCAGGATCATTATTAGGTTTAGCCTTTCATTGGAACCCTAAGTCTAACATGTTTTTCTGGCACTCCAAGTTTGGGTCCCTGGGAGGAGCAACTTTCAAAATTCCTACATTGTTTTGGAAACCCAATTAAAAAATATTATCCAAATGATGTGGTTCCACAATAGTTGCAAAGAAGGTGACTCGTGGGAAGCTATTGCCTCTCTCGGCCCCTTTGCAATGGCTGGCATCCTCAAATGGGCAGGTAATGGAATGGGAGATGGACATCAAGGACAACTGGCTCAGCACTTTGAGCTTTGAACAATGCTGTGTGGGAAGGTTTCATGTGTCCAGCCTATTACTTTGCCCCAGATAGGGTAGGTGACACCTTTGTGTGATCCTGTTGTATCCTCCCCTCCCCTTCCTCTACCACCTCCTCCTCCCATTCCTAAGCTCTTGTTTTATTTATCTGTATCTTCATTGTTCCCTCCAAGTATCCTCTACTTGTTTCCTTCCCGTATCCAAAGAACTGTCAAGCTGTTCGTCAAGTTTTGCAAACAGACTCAGCATTGAAAGATTCCTCTTAGCGGAGAATGTCATTAAATCGAAGAAGGAAGAATGTAAACACAGAGTGTGAATGCTATGGTTTGAAGACAAAGAATAAAGGACTTCATTATGAGTTAAAAGTGATTTCAGGGGTTATAAGAAATAGTGGTTAAAACTGTGGTACAAAGTCACAGATAATGAATACCCAGACATTCAATGTCATATCTACTCTTTTCTAAACTTATCCTCTTAGACATGTGTGTGGTGGAAGGATATACCTACTCTCCTTTGCACCTGTCACATCTGGGTCTCCCCCTTTTTGGCAAAAAGGGCATCTTGCTATTGTTTACTGTCTGCAGGTGAAATAGCTCCTGGGGCATCAAATAAAGGGACAGTTTGGAATATTGTCAGTAAAACAATCTTTAATAAAAGCCCTATGTGAATCTCATGCATCTTTTTAAAAGCCACATTTTAAGTAAGTTTTTTCTTTCTGTTCTGTAATTTGTAATTAAAGTTTAAGATTTACCCACAGTGTTTTGATCAGCTTTCTAATAATTAAGAGGTAAGTTAATCCAAAAGAAAAATGTTAACACTTTGATCCCAGGAAAAATTTTAAAGTTAAATATTAACACACATTTTTGTTATAGGTCATAAATTAAAAGAATGCCAATATTTTCACATGCCAGATATATTGTTCATAATTTCTTAAACTCATGACAAATTTTCAACATCTTAAAACTGTACAAGAGGATACACAATCTTTCTAAAACATTTTTATGGGATCCATAAGAAAAAAAATTTAAAGAACACTGTTACAGGAGCCTAATCCATTTGATGGGTGCTACAGCAGAGCCCGATGTGATAGGGTAGAAAATACTGGGGACTGTGAGAACAGAAAGCCAGCTTCTTCACAAAGCTTTTTTTTTTTTTTTTTTTTTTTAGATTTTTAAATTTATTTCAGAGAGAGTATGTGTGAGTGAGCAGGGGGAGGGACAGAGGGAGAGAGAGAATCTCAGCAGTCTCCACACTGAGCATGGAGGCCCATGTGGGGCTCAATCCCAGGACCCCGAGATCACAACCTGAGACAAGATCAAGAGTGGGATGCTCGACGGACTAAGCCTCCCTGGCATCCCATCATGAACTCTTTTTGTAACTCACTGCAGTCAGTTAACTTGTCCGGCTTTGTTTGCTCATTTGTAAAAGGACATAACTAGACTACGGTTCATTTTAAATGGGGCTATTTCATTCTGTCACTATATGCTCTACATTGGTTATCTCCTTAGGGTTTATCCCTTTTCTTTCCTATTAATTTGAAGTTCTTCTCTAGAGGCAACATAAACACAGTTGGGAATAGGAAAGAAAGCATTGACTATTCTCCTTTTCCTCTCCATTAAAGAGAACACGGTTCTCTGAGATTTATGAAATGAGTGAATGGTCAAGTAATCATTAAAACAATCCCACAGCCATTACAGTCATTTCTGGGAGAGCATGGAGGATTTCCTAAATCCTGCGGACTGGAAACTGGCAAAAACAGGGCTTCCCTTTCCATCAGGCATTTTAAACCTGGGGTCCATGGTAGAATCCAAGGGGTTCAAAATCTTGTGTCGGAAAAAGGAAAAAAAATATTATCTTTATTTCACTAACCTCTTAAATTTGTTTTCTTCAATTATAGATGTAGGCAATAAACAGAGTAGTATTAGCAGTTACTGTTTGTTATTTTCTCATCAATACAAGTCAGTTTCCCATCATAGTAGTTATTTCAGATATCTCAAAATACCGTTTATGCTCTTCACCATTTTGAAATTATGGCAGCTTATTCGCTTACTGTGATAGTTCCTGTTATTTCATGGAAGGAAACACATATGTTATTACTATATACACACATATATAAAAGTACTGCTATTGGTTTTAATATTTCTGACAACTATATGTCAACGTAATGTCGTTTGTACTCCTATGTATTTCATTTTATCTGTTTAAAAACACTGCTGGGAAGGGGTCCCGAAGCCTCACCAGATTGCCAAAAGAGTCTTTGTTTGGCACAGGCGAAAAGGCTAAAGATTACTCAGGCATGAATACAGACATACAGATCATTAAGGAACCCCACTCGTGCGGCATGGAGCAATTGACAGTCACCGTCCACCTGAAAAACGGCAAATGGTGGCTCGATAATTGAGTGAACCTTAAAGGAACAACGAGGAAGTTCCATTTAAGGGGTAAAATTGTTTTTTAGAAATCTCAGAAGTCAAAGGTAAGTAATCGGTGAGGATAGGAGGGGCCCACTTCAGCCTCCCACTTCGTCAACTGCCTACGAGGCCAACTGAACGCCCAAGAAGCCACTTCCTGTTGCCCGAAGCTCGGGTCTATCCCCACCCCACAGGCTGCGATTAAAGGGGTAAACAGGAAGACATACAGGGAAACCCAAACCCTACACCACTGACTCAAAGAAACTTTCAAAAAAATCTACGTCTGGGCAAATCGCCGATATCCCACGGTTCCAGGGACTCCAGCGTTCGAGAGCCCGCTTCCCTTCCTCGGGTCAGCGGGGGCTCCTGCAGCAGGTGACCCAGAACTTTCGTCCACGACTTCAAGTTCGGAAACCATCATTCGCCCCAAGCGAGTTCCAGCTACTCCCGGCTGGCGGCTCACTTCCTTCCCCGCCCTTCGGAGACTGCCTCGCTCGGGACACACGGAGCCCTCACTCACAGCCCGTTCCGCTCCTGAACACCCCCGGGTTCCAGAACCAAAACCTCCACCAGGATATTCTGACTCCGCCTCCTTCACTGCGGCCAGGGCAACACTCGGGCCCAGCTCCTAAGAGCGGCGCCTTTGGCTTACGTAGCGGTAACGTGATTGGTCGCCTCCCTCTGGCGGGCCGGGATTGGTCGGCGTCCGGCCCCGCCCCTCGCCCCCGCCCAGGCCCGCGGCTGCCCGGGTGTCCTCGCGCCGCTCGTCCGCGCGCAGCTTGGCAGTTTGCCTCTTCCTCGTCCTCCAGCCTGCGTCCATGGCCACCGCCGCGGCCGAGGAGCCCTTCCCCTTCCACGGCCTCCTGCCCAAGAAAGAGACCGGGGCCGCCTCCTTCCTCTGTCGCTACCCGGAGTATGACGGGCGGGGGGTGCTCATCGCGGTCCTGGACACAGGGGTCGACCCGGGGGCTCCGGGCATGCAGGTGCGGCAGCCGCCGAGGGCCCGGGCGCGGGGGCGCGGGCGGCGGGTCGGCCGGGGACGCGGAGGGGACGCACCCTCGGAGCCCCGCAGGCCAGGCCAAATCCCGCTCTGCGGCTGAGCGGGAGCCGGCACCGGGAGGAGGCGGAGGGCAGGGCGGGCGGGGGGCTCGCGTTGGGCCGTCATCCCGGCCCAGACAAAAGCGGCGTGCCCGGCGTAGCTGGCCGGGGCGCCTGGGTCCGCCTTTTGCCCAGGAATCCCCTTCCTGCCCAGGTGCTGCCAGGCCCGGGCCCTCGGGCCCCGTTCCACCACGCCGCCTTCCTCCGCAGGTCCCTCGTGTCTCGGGCACCGGTCCCTGCCTGCTATTTTCAAGCGGGGATTTTTACAGTTTTTAGTATTGGTGGGGATGGGGGTGGGGAGGAAACAGAGAAGGGGCAGATGACCTATCAGAACCTCATTTTTATTGGTGTCGTCCGGGAGATTTGGTTTTGGGGAGAATTGTTTGCGTTCCACATGGAAGCCGGGTTTCAAGAAGATAACTCGGTCAACTTCCGGAATTGTTTCCTCTGGTAGTTTTGTGTGTTCTATTTTTAAACCATCTTCTGCAATGTACTTGTTTAGGGTCATTGAAACGCATGGCTTAGTCTTTGTTTTACATAAGAACCTAATTTAGTTTGTTTTTGGCGAACTCTTCAGGCATTATTAAATTAGGCTTCTGTATTTTTTTTTAGCCTCAAAGTGTAAGACAGCACACTTTGCGGTTTTAAAGAATTACCTAATTTTGCCTTAGGCACCTTTTGAAACCCTTATAAAGTACCATATCAAAAGGTAACTTGAAAAAAAAATGTGTCTCTTGATTAAAAGTATTCTAAGTCTTCAGAGTTTGACTATTGTAAGTTTAGCCTTCGCCTCTTAGTGAGATACAGTCGTAAAATATCACCGTCGTTGAAGATCCCTCTCTTAAAAAATCTAACCTGGCTAATCCTATGGTACGCTGCTCTCCTTTTTGTCAGTCCTTCATCTCTGTATCTTATTCTCCTTTCTACACTAAACGCTTAAGTTTAATAACTCTCTTTCTCCCCCAGTACCCTCTGGCCTCTGGATCCTTTATTGTGCTTTCTAATAATTGAGGTAGCATTTTTGGAGGTTAGGATGTCATGCTGGGGGGAAAAGGGGAACCACTCTGGCGGACGGTATAGAATCCGTCTAGGAATCTTGCTTCCTCCTGTTAATTCTTCAGCGGCACTCTGGAGTGCCACACACCTCGGGCTGGCAGGACCAGGAAGCTTTGGTGAATCAGAATAGCAAGTGATGTGTTCCTTGCCGGTAGCTCTAGTGGTACAATTGTATTAATAACACTGAAGACTTAAAAACAGTGACAGCTATCACCTCATTGAGCCTATATTACGGAGTACTAATGGTTTCCATTCTGTTGTAGTGTATGTTTACTTTTTATAGGGATAAGTGGGAGGAGAACAGCTGGGGTAAGTGTTTACCGGTTCTTTTGTCAGGATAATAAGAGGATCAGGAGAGTTTGGAGCAGGAGTGTCTCCGTAAAAATGCTTTTGTAGAACTTCCCAATCTGCTTATCATATTGTTCCATTATTCTCTGTAAAGTGGTAGCAGGTCTCATCCACAGTATTGCTATGAAAATTGATTGAGAAGATTATTTACATGTGGTTTTTGAAAGTGCTCAAGAGGGGCGCCTGGATGGCTCAGTGGGTTGCACATCTGCCTTCCGCTCGCCTTCAGCTTGGGTCAAGGTCCTAGGGTCCTGGAATCGAGCCCCGCATGGGGCTCTTTGCTCAGTGGGGAGCCAGCTTCTCCCTCTCCTGCCTGGGACTCCCCAGGCTTGTGCTGTCAAATGAATGGATAAACTCTTTAAAAGAAAAAAAGTGCTTAAGGAAAGTGCTAAGTAAACACTAATTTTTTTTAAGCAGGTTTATTTAGAAAGAGTTGATGCTGGAATTTAAATCAGCTGTCTAAAGGATAAATATACCTTAGATATTTGCATGTAATAACAAATGTTCAAGCAATAAAATATTGAAATAAAATGAAAATATAACTCTTCTAACAACTGTAACGGAGATATTCACATAAAAATGGCCAGTTAAAAGAAATTTAGTAAGGTGGATTGCACATGTGAGGGAATTTTTAAGTTTTTTTTCCCTGCTTTAGCAAATGTATTTTGTAGCTCTCTGTATACATTATTAAGATAAGAAGGTGGATAGAAATAAAAGGGAAGGAAAGAATGAAAAAAGAAGAAGAGGCCAAAGTGGACTTTTGGAAAGCCAGATGGGTCTGCGGAGAGATCTCAAGGCACAATTAAACACTTGAGAGAAGGCAATGGGGTGTCATTCTTCGGTGACTGCTTTGGGCCCAGTGCTCTTTTGTGACATCCTCCTGGGCTTGTTAAAAGTAGAGGGGGGACAGCATGAAAGGAGTAATAAGTAGATAAATGATTATATCTTTCCTCAGCAAATATCCAGGCACCTGCCAGGTGTCTAAGGTTGAGTTAAAGGATGTCCTCTGCAAGTGTCACCAAGACTGGGGGAGGGGGAGGGAGCAGTGAGAGCTGGCTACAAGGCCAGGGTGGGACTTACATTGCCCCTGGAAAGAATATGCAGTAGCCAGTTGGTTCCCTGCCACCAGTTTTCTCATTGCTCCATCCTTCACATTACCAAATTATTTTCCTGAAAAAAAGGAAAGAAAAGAAACACCTTATGTAACACCCTTGTTTAATACAGAACAAAACTTTTAAAATTTTGATGTCTTAGTTGCCTTTGCTTAAACATTCCAAAATCTGAATTTTTTGTAGCCCTTCACCCTCCAGCTTGACCTCCTCATGGTGCTTTGGTTCTACCTTTCCCCTCCCCACTTCTGTCCACCCCACTGTTAACTCTTTGCTTCCACCTTGAACAGTCCACCCTTTCCACAACATAAAAGTTAATCTGCCTGCAAGACTTCCACCCTCACCTGCAAACTCCTGCTTAATCCTTTAAGACCCACCTGAGTTTAGCCTTTGGGATATCTGCTGATTTAATTCAGACCCCCAGCATATATTTACATGTGTGTGTCCACCACTGTGTTAGGACCTGAGGTTTCAAGATGAATAGGGTCAGTTCGTGCCCACAGTTATTTGCGTGTTTTTCTTTTTTGCTCTTGGAGCAATGTGTTCAGATTCCCCCACACATCACCTAAAATATTCCATTTTAGTATTTCTGTTTACATAACCTCTTTTCATACATGAGGTAAAATTCTTTGACAGCATATATCCAGATTCATTTTGTATGAAATGTACTTATTAAATATTTTTGCTGAATGGAAAAAAGTCCATATGTGTGCACAGTATATGTAATTTCCTCATGGAGAAAAAATGTTTTGGGGAAGAAGGTTACAAGTGGTTCTATAAAAATTTTTCTGTTTTTACATTTAGTAAAATACTTGAGTACAGTAAGTCAGTTATCACATATATATAATTGGTTGCTAATATTAGGTGCTATGCAGTTGATTTTAATTTTTATTACCTTTCTCTTGGTTAGTTTTCCTGAATTCCCCCAAGCTGCATTTTGTGTCCTACATGTTTTCATAGATACTGTCCTTACCTTTTTTATTTATTGTCCTATGTTGCAGTTATTGCTTTGCTAATTTGTTTTCCAACTGGATTGTAAGCTTTCTGAAAGTAGAGCCTGTCCGATTCATTCATTAGACATGCTCTGATGGTAGACCGTTATTGAGAATAATAGTCATAATAATAGTATTTGCTTAAGAAATATCTTCCCTTGCTTAAAATAATATTTTCGGGTAAATACTTATACATTCACTTTGTTTTGTTTGGGATGATTTGCAGTTCCCCTCCCCCCTTTCTTTTGACCTTCTAATGTTGAATGACTGTTTCTCACCCACCTCACCAGCACCTGGACCATAATCAATTCAGTGGAGACACAAAGTAATTCAGATTCTTGACATTTGGGGAAAACCTTTGGGCAGTTTCTGTATTGTCCAGCCAGCATAGCCCTGTAAGCACTTCTCAGTCCCCCACCCCAGTACATGGACTGTATTACTACCTTAGCTCTACTCACAGCTCTGGCAGTGGTTCAGTCCCTCTTTGCCTTGTAATACAACCCCCCACACGAGATGAGGGATTTCGTTCTGGATGGTAGTAGTTCAGTTTCCTTCTCCCAAAGCTCCATTGCAAAATCCTCAGCTGGTTTGGCTTTTTTAAAATCTCTTCTTCCGGGGCACATGGGTGGCTCAGTGGGTTAAAAGCCTCTGCCCTCGCCTCGGGTAGTGATCCCTGGGTCCTGGGATCTAGCCCCGCATGGGGCTCTCTGCTCAGCGGGGAACCTGCTTCCTCCTCTCTCTCTGCCTGCCTCTCTGCCTACTTGTGATCTCTGTCTGTAAATAAATAAAATCTTAAAAAAAAAAAAACAAAACTCTTCTTCCTAACTCCAAACTCCCTCTTCTGTCTTACTGTCTCCAGTGGAGTGTTTGCCTTTACCTAATGGTGAAGAAAGAGACATAGAGATAGAAAATTGCATATATAAGGATTTTTTTTTTTAAGATTTTATTTATTTTATTTGACAGACCGAGATCACAAGTAGGCAGAGAGGCAGGCAGAGGGGGCGGGGCGGGGGGGGGGGAAGCAGGCTCCCTGCCGAGCAAAGAGCCCTGGACCCTGGGATCATGACGGGAGCCAAAGGCAGAGACTTAACCCACTGAGCCACCCAGGTGCCCCCCATATATAAGGATTTTTAATAAAAGAGAGATGCTAACAAGTAAAGCTTTCGGCAATAATGGATAGTAAAGAAGTCACTAAATCCCGTTAGGCTTTCTTCCTTTGCTCACACACTGATAATGAGGTTTCTAATGAGAGAGATCTATGTCTGGCTTGTTAGTGATCTCTTGTGATTCTTGATCTCAAGTCACTGAAGTTGTTTGCTCATTGAATGAGGAGATAGAGATAGGTGATAGTGTTCATAGTGCTATGGCCTAGCTTTCATATTACATACTACCTTGGACTACTTTTTGAACTCAGTTGTTCTCTTAAATTCTTAGTACATGATTTAGCTAGTTTTAATTTTATGGGGGAATATTAGCTTCCTCTTGTTTCCATTTTTTATTTAGGAAGGTTTTCTTACATTTTCCTTCATTATTTTATTTCTAAAGATATTTAGCCAATCCCTTCAAAATCAGGAACTGATTTAAGTTTTATCATAATCTTATCAGAGTTTGGTATGACTTCCACAATAATGTTTTGGTGATGATTTTGAGCCTCCAGAATATATTACTTATTTTGTTACTAGTATAGACATTAGCATAAAAATTACTATACACTGAAAACAAAAAACAGCTGTCCTGGGAAGGCCTCTATGACCCCTGGTGATTCTATGACAGTGTTATTGGAATAAGATTTGGGACCCATCAAGAACCCCTTTGCTTCTGCCTCATAAAGAAAAACATGGTTGCCTTTGTTTCCTCCACATGGTGACTTTCCCTGTTCCCGTCTTGGGTAACCTTTAAACTGCAGAGCTTTAAGGACACTGCATGTGTGGTGGGAGGAAGCGATGCCTAGGAAGACACAGAAAGGGACACTAAGCTTGATCTTAGGAGTGTGAGTTCTCCAGGAGGAAAAGAGTTGGAAGACCCTGTGCTTCTATGATACTCTTGGCATTTTCTCCGTTGCCTTTTTTTTTTACTTGAGGGTAAGGGTCTTCTTGGTCATCTTTTCTCAGTCTTTGTGTCTCCATGCCTGATTTCCTGCTAATAATTCAGTATATATATCTTGAATGCTAGATACTCCCTTTGCAAGGCTAGCCCAGAAGTGATTTTTCCAACAAAAACAGTATGAAAATACAGTACTGCTGTTACCTGTAGCAGTCAGTGTGGCCCAAATGAAAATTTGAGGACTGACCAAGAAACCGTGCCATAAGAAAATCACTCTGAATACTGTAAATTGGTGTCAGATCATTCAGTCATTGAATATGTATTGAGAACCAACTAGGCGGTGCTAGGTTTGGGGGAATTTGGTGAGTAAAATAGACATAGTCCTTCCCCTTAAAAGAGATTATCTTCTAGGGGCGCCTGGGTGGCTCAGTGGGTTAAGCCGCTGCCTTCAGCTCAGGTCATGATCTCAGGGTCCTGGGATCGAGCCCCACATCGGGCTCTCTGCTTGACAGGGAGCCTGCTTCCCTCTCTCTCTCTCTGTCTCTGCCTAAAAAAAAAAAAAAAAGAGATTATCTTCTAATAGTGGAAATACATCAGAAGTCAGCTAGCTGTATAATTACAAATTCTGTGAAGGAAACAAGGTATGGTGAGAAAGAACGAGATTCAGGTTTAGGCTGGCAGCTACAGAAGAGGTCATCAGGGAGGCCTTTCTGAAGAGTGTCAATTTTAGTAGAAAACTGAAAGATGAGATTGGAATGTCTGTGGAACAGCTGAAGGGCCATAGGATTCCAAATGAAAGGACTGTGCGTGCAAAGTTGGGAGGCAGGGAAGAGTTTTGCCCGTGGCAGGAATTGATAGGAGGCCAGTGTGGTTAGAGTGGTACAGGACCGGACGGGGCAGGCCAGGTCTCTCAGAGGAGAGACTTTTGCATTGAATGTGTTGGGATCCGTTGCAGGGTACCACGTGGAAAACGGGCATTGTAGTGCTTGTTTGACTTGCTTGGGATGGGGGCCAGGAATGGACCCTGGGAGGCCTGCAAGGAGCATCACCATTACGAAGGCAAGGGGGTGGTGGTAGGGAGAGAGTCAGGATACTGGTGGTGAAAATCAAGAGGAGAAGGTGGACTTGAACTGTGTTTTAGAGGTAGAATGAAGATGACTTCCTGACAGATTTGATGTAAGGAGCAAACTAGAATAAAGAATCAGAGAAGAAGGACTTTTAACTTTCTGGTTTGAGCAACTGGGAATGTATCAATTCCTGAGAAGACAAAGCCTTGAGAGAAATAAGTTTGAATGTTAAGTTTGACCTTTGGACTAAGTTTGAATGCTAGTGTAACATCCTATAATTACACGTTATTACATATTTTCTCCCTAAAGTTTTGTGCTTGTCCGGCCCAAAGCTCACCTTCTTCAGATCTTTTCTCAAATGTTACTTTCAGTGAGCTCTTTCTTGACCAACCTAGTGAAAGTTGAAATCCCCACACTACCTCCTTTTTCTGCCCGATTTTTCTCTATAGTAATTATCACCATCTGGCATGTTATGTATTTGACATGTTTATTGACTGAGTAGAATATAAGATCTGTGAGATCAAGGACTTCTGTGTATTGGTCACTTCTATGTGTGTCCCTACAGCGGCCTTAGTAAATGGTTAGTAAATATTTATTAACTGAATATATAAAATCACTTGAAGGATTCTGTGATGCTTTCCATGACTAAATTTTTTGTAAGTATTTATCCCACTTTGACTTAAAACAATTCAGTTTTCTTTTTTAATTGATGCAGATTTCATAGGATATTTTATGTATGTGTATGCACATTGCACACATATGGGGGTTAGCATTGTTTTTTTAAGGATTAAAAAATTAAATCTCTAATTTCTGTTTTAATTATCTTAATTTTCAGGTTACAACTGATGGAAAACCAAAAATCATTGATATCATTGATACAACAGGAAGTGGTGATGTGAATACTGCTACAGTAGTAGAACCCAAAGATGGTGAGATTATTGGTCTTTCAGGAAGAGTGCTCAAGGTTAGAACTTTAATCTTTTTATCGATTTTTTTTTAACCTTCTTTTATACTATTGCCTCAAAGTGTCTTATGGTTTTAGCTTATGTTTGGTGTCTTATGTTTTAGCTTATGTTTAGCTTATGTTAGCTTGTTCTTTAATAAATTACCCTCAAAACTTCATGGTTTAAAATAACAAATATTTATTATCTCACAGTTTCTGTGAGTCCGTATTTGGGTGTGACTTAGCTGGGCGCCTCTTGTTTAAGATCTCTCCTGAGGTTACTGTAGGCTAGGGCTGTGGTTTCATCGGAAGGCTCAGCCCGAGTGGGGAAGGGGAGTCTGTTCCAAGCTTGCTCAGGTCGTTATTGATAGACTTTGGTTCCTTTCCATGGGGCTGTGTCATACCATGCAGCTGTCTTCCCCCTGGGTGAGTAATCCAAGAAAAAGAGTGCCCAAGATGGAGACCATGGTCTTTTCACCAATTAATCTTGGAATTGACATCCCATCACATCTGCCATTTTGTTTTCAGTAGAAATGAGCCATGAGATCCAGCACATTCTTAAGAGGAAGGGGATTTAACTGAGAGCATGAATACCAAGAAGTGGAGGTCATTGGGGCCATCTTAGAAAAATTTGTTTTGTTTGTTTGTTTGTTTGATAGTGAGCTTAAAATTGGGATATATTTTTCAATGCGATTACCAAATTCTAAAAACTTTAAGTTTCGGATAGAAAGGTAGGAAAATTGACCAATTGTAGTTTTGCCTTCATCTTTTCCTGGTCCTTCTGAGAAGTAGGAACATGAAATATTTAGGCGTTAATAATAGTGGACTTAAGTGACTAGCTTTGTGTTACTCTTTGTACTTGGTAGAAAGACCTGGGTAGAAAGTTAAGCTAACGTGAAAAATGATAAGGATACTAAAAGCAGTTGATGAGATGTTAGCTCATGAGCTTGTTAGATGTCAAAAATTTGATTGTGATTCAGTACTCTTTATCTTTTAAACCAATAAGCAGAATTAGTTTGGAAGATGAATTTGTGTTTATCTATGTCTAAAGAGCTGTATGAAACTCTGCCCATCTTTTACCATCTATCTGAATCATGTTTAGGCATTGTCTTCTGGCTAAGATTGTTGTGGCAGCATTAGTTTTCTATGCTGTGTCATGAGTTAACACATATTTAGTGCCTTAAAGCCACATACAATCCTGCATTTATTATCTTGCTGTTTTCTTGGGTCAGGAATCTGGCTTTTCATGGCTCTCTGCTGCGTCTCCGAAGACTGTAACGAGGTGTTGTTTGGAACTGTGGTCTCTCTCTACTGAGGCTCAGGATCCTCTTCCAAGTTCATTTGATTGTTGGAAGAAATCATTTTTCTTGCACCCGTAGAACTCAAAACAGCTTACTTTAAGGCTGACTAGAGAATCTCTTTGACCTTCGGGATGGCCCTAGTCTGTCTTTTAAGGACCTCACCTGATTAGGTCAGGTCCACCAGGGTAATGTCCTCTTTGATTAAATTGGTCACCTGATTAGAGACCTTAATTGTATCTTCAAAATCCCTTCACCTTTCCAATATTACTTACAATAACACAGTCACAATTCCAATAGTCATAGACCCGTCCTTCAGTGAGGGGAGAGGACTGTACAAGGGCATGGGTTGTCTTTAGAATCTGCCTACCACGGGCAGGAAGCAGGCATCAGCATCCAGGTTTTGCTTCCTTTTCCATGTGTTATGGACTGAATTGTTTGTATGACCCCAAAAGTCATATGTTGAAGCTCTGACACCCGATTTGATGGTATTTGGAGATGGTGTTAGGGTTGGATGAGGTCATGCTCTCATGAGGCAATTAGTCTCTGCTTTCTTTTCTCTGCCGTGTGAGGACACAGTGAGAAAACTGTGCCTGCAAGTCAGGAAGAATCTCGCCTCTTCCTGAATCTGGTGTTTTCTTGGGTTAGTTTCTCCCACTGCTTTTGCCATTCTTTTATCTAGAACTCCTGTTAATTGTGCAGTGGACCTCTTGAGTTGGTCTTATAATTTTCTTATGTTTTTCCACCTTTTCTTTATTACTTTCATTTGCTTTTTTTCCTTCCTGAAAGATTTCTGAGATTTCTCAGTATTCTTTTCTAGCCCTCATATTGAATTTTGTTAAATTTTGCCTATTATTTTTAAGTGCAATTCTGCTCATATTCACTTAGCATATTTTTGTGTCATGTATGCAACATTTTATCTGTGAGAATATTGTCTAAAATTTTTTTTCTAGTTTCCTTTTTAGGCACCTTTCTCTTCCTCCCATTCTGTTTTTCCCTTTCCTTTTCTCCTTTTTTCTTTACCTCTTCCCTTTCTCCTTCTCTTTGCCTCCTCCTTCCTTGTGCTCTGCTTTCTACCTGAGAGCTTTCCCCATGGTATGTAGCTATCCTGTCTGACCCTTGGTTAGCAGGGCACATACCGGTGATGGAAGTGCTCTCTGTTTGTGTAGGGTCTTGGGGTGAGGGCAGTGGTGCTGTCATGGTGGACCCTTAGTGGCAGTTTACAGCATACGTATTCCCAGTGGGTTGTGCAGTTATCTCCCAAGAGGACCTTAGCGTGTCTGGCCTGGGCTTTGAGGAGAGAGTGAGAGAGAAGCCTGGCTATATTCAGGGGCTCACACTTAGTGCCCAGATCTCTTGCGGAATCTTCTGTATGTCTCCCCTCACCCCCTCTGCTATGTGAACCTCTCTAGAAAACTGACATTTCAACATCTCTCCGGTTCCGTGTCCAGTTGCCTGGCTTGTCAGGTTTGGGCAGGATGTGGGATGGGCAGCAGGAGTCTGTTCCTCAAACAGACTTTCTTCCCCCAGTCTTTTTGGTGTTAGCTCCCATCTCCATCTGTACATAACACACCCACGTAAGTGTTCAGCTCATTTTTTTCAAGGATGTGCAGATGTTCAGGTATTTTACAGCGGTCATTAAAAAGCAGACTGTTATTAGTCTTGCAGACTAAAAAGAAGACTGTCATGCAGCCATGATACTGCATGCAGTAGTGGTTTGTTTCATTTCACTGCTGTGCAAGATGCCGTGGTGTGTATGTACCGCCTTGCGTCCACTCTACTGCTGATGAACGGTTAGCTGTTTCCAGTTCGGGAGGCACTAACAGCTCTTTAGAGGATACTCTTGTGTACATGTTTTGTGCATGTGTGTATAGGTAATTCCAGGATGTGTACCTAGGAGTGGAATTGCTGACTCATAGAGATACAACTTGACCAGGTGATGCCTAACAGATTTTCCAAGTATTTGCACTTAAAATGCATTTCCACTAGCAGTGTGAAAGAATTTTAATAGTTGCACAGCTAACACTTCGTATTCTTAGGCTCTTTAATCTTTGCGAATATGCTGGGAATCTGGGTATATGATGTTGTGGTTTTAATATTTATTTTTTTAATCACTAATAAGATTGAGCTGCTTTCCTTATGTTGATTAGACATTTGGATTTCCTCTTTTGTAAAGTGCCTGTTAAGTCCATTTGCCCTCTTTGTTCCCCTCCTGAGTTGTTTTCTTTCTCACTAAATTGTAGGATTCCATTACACATTCTAAGTACCTGTCCTCTGATGGGATGTCTCTGGTATCTTTTCCCATTTGGTATATCTATTTTCACTTCCCTTATGGTGTCCTTGGATAAGTAGATATTCTTAAATTTAATATATTTAGATATTAGTCTTTGCCTTTTGGTGAGGACTTTTTATGTCTTAAGACATCCTTCTGACCCCGAGAGCATGAAGATATGCTCCTCTATCATTTTCTGAATACTTTTACCATATTTCATTTCATGTTCCAGAATTCACTGGAATTGGTTTTAGGCTTAGCTCAAAACAGGAATCCTGGATCCTCTTTTCCATCTGAAGACCAGTTGCCCCAACACCCACCACCACAATTTCCCATAAATTTTCAGTGGTGCCTTTTACTTTGCAACCTTTAAAATGGGGGTGATACAGCTTCTGAGTATCATTTCCAGTTCTCTGTGCCCTTTGGGTGTTCTGTTTTTTGTTGTTTTTTTTTCTCCTTTTCCTTTAATTTTAGTAGACATTTGGAAGGGAGCATGGTGCTTTTTAAATTCTACCACATTCAACTTAAAGTTGGTTTTTAAATCACCAGTATTTAGTCTTACATAAAAATCAGGTCCAGGCATAGAGAACGACTTGACTAAATTTGGTCCCATATTTAGATGCAGGGGTAGCTAAAGGAGTGTGCTGGCTTTACCATGAGACTGACAGGCTGAAACATAGTTTGAAGTCAAGAAAAACAAAACAAAACAAATTACTGCCTGGAACATTAACACTCATGATGGCATTTGGCTTATTAAGAAAATGCTCAATTCATTAGGCATCCCCTCTTTAAAAGAGTCCAAGAAAAGAGATGTAATTAGTAAAAAAAATTCTGTTTCTCATATGAAAATCCACTGATTCCATTATAGTATTAACCTTAAAACTGCCAGTTATTTTACCAGCAAACATGAGTTTATTGAGGAATAGCAGAGAATTGCAGTCTGAAACAGGTAGCCTGTGGCAAAGTCATAGGCAAGTCCCCACCCAGAACAAAAGAGAGGAGCACTGTTTTATACAGAGGACAGAGGAAAGCGGGGAAGCTGGAAGGGCTGCTACAAACAGAAAGTCCATAGAGTTAACTGCCTCCTGTTCAGGGGGTAATGGAGTATCCACTGGCAGGGCCCGTGTCTGTCTGTCTGTGTCTGTCTGTGTCTGTCTGTCTGTCTGTCTCTGTCTCTCTCTCGCTCTCGCTCTCGCTCTCGCCTGCAACTGAGGAGGAGGGTAGGGCATGAGAGCGCCCCCTGCTGGCCGGTGCTGACTGTATTGAACCAAGATTTCTTTTCATCAATTTTCACAGAAGTTACCATGTAATAAAATCATTTTAAAGATATCCAAATATGGTCAAAGATATCCAGATATCCAGATGGTCAAAATATAAAGCTTTGATACTTAAAAGAGACTGAAAATACGTTCGTGTGTATGAAATACTCAAATAGGCAAAATGACATATTCCATAATTGCCTCATAGAGTAAAATTACCTTTACTCAAATTTGGTATGCTATTAGCAGAACCGTTATAACGGTTATAACCATTATAACATTTATTTTTTGATTTTCCTGAGTTTAATTTTTTGTAACCAACCAGTCTGCCTTTACTGTGAGGAAAGTACATAGTAGTGATTTGAGAAGTATTTGGGTATGTGGACCCTAGAGATTTTGATCTCATTTATAATTAAATATACATGAAGTCTCATGGATTATTTTCATTGTATTATATATAATGTAAGTAATTTGGTTAAATATGTGTTAGCACCTGCTTATCTTACACTTATTTTAATGAGTTATTCCATTTACTCCTTCAGCATTTCACAACCTTTCATAATCTCCTTGTGCAAAGAAGTTGCCACTAGCCCAGGGTTGCCTGACCTGTGTAGTGGGACACGTGTGGTGAAGTAGTCTTTGAATGTGCCAGCTAGTGACTACTTACCTTTTTGTTATTGTTGCAACACTGTATTGTTGTTATGTTACAGGCTATAGCAGGGACATTAGAGTTAGAGAACAGGGATTGTTCTCTAAAAGAGGTTGGTAAGTTTTGAATGAAAAGCAGTAGTTTATATGCCAACATAGGCAAAATTTCACATACTCCAGACATCCATTTGATTCCAGAAATGATTATTGATATAGGCAGGCTTTTAAAAAAATCAGTAGATCTTTGAAATTCTGTGAATGGCATTTTTATCTCTACTTAGTTGTGAGAAAATTTCATCCATAAGTTTCTCACCTGGGGACTAATTTGATGAGGGACATGGAGGTGATCCAGTTAAAAATACTGCACAAGTGAGAATTGACGAGTCATCTAAGTCTGAGTGGTTGATAGTTCAACCTCCTGTTTTATACACGTTTGAAAGCTGTTTTTAGTTGTGGGTCCTGTGATTACAAAAAGTGTGAATATTCCACATTTTTCTTGGTGGACATTTGAAGTTGATTGATGCTCAGTATATGTGCAAATCATAAGGTAGGAATCATTTTCTTCCTTTTACATGAAGTAGGAACCTGTGGGTCCCCTTTGGTTAATGGGAGAGTTTGGATTCACAGCCAGGTTTACCCACGGTACATGACCTTTACACTGAATTTTTTGGTATCTGTGATAGAGCTAGATTCTAGCTTTCTTTTCACCCTTCCTGCAGTTTGGACAAGCAGTTTGCTTTTATTTTTTTGCTTTTTCCGTATGTCACTGGGCATGCTCTTTACATCATTCTGTTAATTAGAAGCTTTAAAGTACTTCTCGATATTTGGAAAAACTATTATAAGATGTTATATATAATTAACATGATTTTATAGAACTTTTTTCTTAAAGAGCTATTTTAAGTATCTAGGCATTATCCCTGTTGATTGTAGGGAATGCATTTCTTAACAGGAAATCTAAGTGTCGTCCAGAGGGTCTGTAAACCTCTTCCCCTCACCCCTAGTTTGGCAGTAAGTCTGAGAAGGGAGAGGTGATGTGTCCTTGGATGCTTGAGAACTAAAGATTTAGTGAGGCCGCAAATGTTGAAAGCACTTTATAAATTATGAAGCATTGTGTAAATGAAAGGTATCCTAGGTGAACCACCTTATTTATGGATGAAAAGAAAAGCCAGACAGATACTAAGTGGCACCTTAGAATATTAGAAATATTGCTCTGATACAGAACCTTGCTCATCCAAGTTGAGCCATCGGAATAGAATTGAAATAGCCTTTTTCCCTAGTAGTAAATCATTGGAATTGGGAAGCATTTAGTGAATTGACAATTTACTTTTTTTCTATAGATTCCTGTGAGCTGGACAAATCCCTCAGGCAAATATCATATTGGCATTAAAAATGGCTATGACTTCTATCCAAAGGCACTCAAGGAAAGGATACAGGTAATGTACAATCTAGAATCAATGACTTCTTCCTCAGATGTTTTTCTCATAAGATCCCATGAACTCTTAATTATTGTGGAGGCTGGGAGACTTTCAGACAATGACTGCTTCAGGGCTCTGTTCAGCGGAACGTTAGCCATTTAAAGCGACAGTTCTTAATCTTGTGTACATGGATAAGTTTAGAAAATCTGTGAATACATTGAAATCATCTTCAAGTTTTTATATATGTGTGTTTTTCTGGGAGTTGGAATATAGCTTTCATTGGATTTTTGAGGGACCTTTTTTTTTTAACCTCCAAAAGGCTAAAGACTATTTAAAGTTGATGTAAAGTCCTGGCTAACTTAATTGTTCCCAGTTTTATACCTTCTATGATGATTTGTCCCATTTTTCATACTGTTTAACGAGGTTTCTTTTTTTTTTTTTTTTAAAGATTTTATTTATTTATTTGACACAGAGAGAGATCACAAGTAGGCAGAGAGGCAGGCAGAGAGAGAGGGGGAAGCAGGCTCCCCACTGAGCAGAGAGCCCGATGTGGGGCTGGATCCCAGGACCCTGAGATCATGACCCGAGCCGAAGGCAGAGGCTCAACCCACTGAGCCACCCAGGTGCCCTAACGAGGTTTCTTGATCCTGGCTAGTCGTCATTCAGTACTAGGGAAAGGGTTACTCAGACCTGAAGCAGCTGCAGTATAGCAGACACACGGCTGTTATTAGAGAAATAAGTCGCAGATCGAGGAAGGAGGAGCCTGCTTTAAAGCAGTGCTGCTGAGTGGACCTCTCAGGGATGATGGACATGTTCTCTGTCTGCCCGTTATGGTAGTCACCGGCCACCAGTACTGTTGAGAACTTGAAATGTGACTCGTGTGAAATTTTAATTTTCTGTAATATTTTATTTTTTATTTATTTTTTTTTTTAAGATTTATCTATTTGACAGAGAGAGAGAAATCACAAGTAGGCAGAGAGGCAGGCAGAGAGAGAAGGGGGAGGAAGCAGGCTCCCTGCGGAGCAGAGAGCCGGACGCGGGGCTCGATCCTAGGACCCTGGGATCATGACTTGAGCCGAAGGCAGAGGCTTTAACCCACTAAGCCACCCAGGCGCCCCTCTGTAATATTTTAAAATTGAAATCTAAACAGCAACACGTGGCTCCCATATTTGCCGGTACCAATTTAGAGGATTGCTGTCCCATTAGTAGCTGACACAGGTTCAGAGTTTCAACTGTAAAAGATAATGTGATCCTTGAAAATGAGCCCAAAGGGTAAGACCTGTGGGTGCTTCCCTCTAATCATACACTGTTACTTGCTTCTCCAGGGGTCTGCACCGTAAGAGCTATTCAGCACACTGCATATAGGACCTTTACTTTTTCGTCACATTCTAATCATTCTGCAAAAAAAATTGAAATGACAAAAACTGCATATAACTTATTGGATGCTATTTTATTTTTAAAATTTCAGGCTGATGTACACATAGCATAGTATTTTTATGCACCATATTAAATTTCATCCACTGTCTGATAAAGTGCAAATGAACATGCAAATAGAGTATGTTAATGTCTGCCCCCTCCTTAGCTCAGTGGAGTTGTTTTATTGGAAAGGATTTTTTTTGTATCTAGCAGACCTCCACTTGGTGGCACTATGGGTTAAAGATAGAGATGAAGGTAAAACCAATTTCAGTAACAGAACTCTGTCAAATGAAAGAGGATAGGGAAGAAATAAGCCAGAAAGGGAGGAAGTTGAGGAAGCCTGCATGCCCCTCCTGACAGCTAGTCTTAACCCTGCCGTCCGCTTGCCTGTGGCTTAAGGCCACAGTTGCATAAGGGCCCACAGCACAGTATTTGCTTTTATTGTAAGTGACTGGGAATTCAATTTGTTATGCAACACACTATTATTTTTATTCTTGGATGGGTTAAAATTGGGGCATATGTATCAAAATACATTTGGATGTGCCTTGATACATGTGTCCTCTTAAAACCCAGGTGCACTGAGTTAACTAGTTGTTAATTATTGATCCACTGCTTTATCCACTTGATTATAAATGATTCTTTAGCTCCTATGTGAAACTTGTGTGGCATCACAACTGGTAACAGCTAGGTCTGTATATACAAGACCGTCCGGGTTTACCAGGATGTTTGCCATCCTCATTGTAAGGTAATTTTTCTGTCTTTGCAGAAAGAACGAAAGGAAAAAATCTGGGATCCTGTTCATAGGGTGGCCCTTGCAGAAGCCTGTAGAAAACAAGAAGAATTTGATGTTGCCAACAGTTGCCCTTCTCAAGTTGGTGCTAGTCGCTTTTATTTAAACATTGCCACAGAACTGTATTATCACAGAGTTCTTGGAGCGTTAACAGGCTTTTTTTTTTTCACAAGTTTTAAATTATTTAATTTTACTAACTTTTCTTTTATTCTGAAATCAACTTACATAGTTTTCAAAACTTCTCAGTGAACATAGATGTATGTAAAAGTGCATAAACGCTAAGTGTGTGTAGTCATGAGTTAGCACAAAGTGAACACTCCCTCCCATACCCCTTCCTCGTCATTGCTCTGTGCCTCGTCCAAAAGTGACCACCATCATGACTTAACACTGTTGAAAGATTTTGCCTGTTTGGAATTTGTAGAATGGAATCCTACAGTGTGTTCTCTCATGGGAAGCTGCTTTCACTCAGTCCTGTGTTGGCGAGATTCATCCGTGTGTGGGTGTTGTCGTTTGTCCACTCTTGTTGCTGTATGATATTTGCACCACGGTCGATGTGTCCATTCTGCAAATCGGCATTTGCCTTGTTTTCAGTTCTTGGCCCTTATGGAAGATGCTATTTTGAGCATTCTCATGCATGTTTTTGGTGGGGCACAAAGTGGTAGTACCCATACATATTTCTGCAAGAAGTACTATGAGAGCTCCCATTGTTCCACATCCTTAAATAGATGCTGCGTTTGTTTTTTTACAATTTATTTATTTGAGCGACAGAGAGAATGAGGGAATACAAGCAGGGGGAGGGGCAGAGGAAGAGGGACAAGATCTCAGGCAGACTCCCCATGGAGTGCTGAGCCTGACATGGGGCGCGATCCCACAATCCTGAGCTCATGACCCGAGCCAAAATCAAGAGTCGGACACTTAACCGAATGAGCCACCCAAGTGCCCTAGCTGTTACATTTTTTTTAATCAGTTAATAAAATGAAGATAATGTTAATTATGAAAATAGTTCATGCTTGTTGCAGAAATTTTTGGATCACACGGGCATACAAAGTAGCAATTGAGAGCCTCTAAAATGCTACCCCCCACCCCAGGGATGGTACCAACAACTTGGTGTTTATTCTTCTAAATCTTTCTTTTAATGCATGCATATACCTTTTTAAAATCAAAAGTGGAATGGTATTGGTGGTTTTCAACCCTGGCTGCATATTAGAATCACGTGAAGAGCTTTAACCCGCCAGTGCTTATGCCCTAGAGAGGAATTAAATCAAAGCCTTGCAGGAAGGCTGGCATTTTTAAAAGCTCCCGGGAGCTTTAATTACTGCACAGTTAGGGTTGAGAACTCCTGGCCTGAATAGATGTACACACACATTTCACTTGCATTTATTTAATCTGTGTACAGCATCTCTTTTATAACTGTAGTTCATCCTCTTGAGCTGTATTATTTTCTGTTCCATCACTGTTTGTCTTTCAGCCTCTTACTACACACGTTAAGTGTCATAGTTCAGGTGCTATTTATATAGCCAGTTTTATAGCAGGAGGGGTCTGGACTTAATTATCCCTTTTATTTCATTTTGTTTACCAAAAATCTCTATATTATTGTCTTTTTTCCTTTAAGGAGGAATGAATGTTGAATAACAAATGAAGTGTAATAAGACTTTTGGAATGTGGAAATTAAGTTTTAATTCAATAGGACTATTCAGGTGAATGTAGAGCTGTCTGATGTAGCATGTAGTTGGGGAAAAAAAACAGGTTGGAGTGTATACAATTCTCATTGTTTTGGATCAGAATAGTTAAATAGCAGCTTATCTGTACAAGGTCACGAATATAGTATGTATTTTAACTTATTAGCATATTCTAAAGGGCAGAAGATAATTCACGGTTTCTCTTACTTAGATTCTTAAACAGATTTAAATGGAAACAGTTCTCAAAAAATCTTAAAGTCAATAGATAATCTACTTTGTAGTAATTTTAGAGTTATTTTGGAAATTAGTTATAGATTATAGATACGTGAGTAACACATCTTGGCCAAATGATAAAATAAACGCATAGCACAGTGTCTTTCCCAAAGTGGGTAGAATAAAAAAATAAATGAGAGATTGACTAAAAGTAGTAGTATTCTTAAGATGTTTGATACATTAATTGATATCTGCATCATTAAATTGAACTACAAGTTGCATAGATGTAAAAAGAAAACTTTATTACGTTTTTCTAGGGTAAAATGGCTTTACTTTTGGTGACACTGTGTCTTTGGTTATATGTTAATAGAACTTTTCAAGAGCACAAAATGTACCAATATTAATATATTTTCTAATTGACTAGGCAAATAAACTAATCAAGGAGGAACTTCAAAGTCAGGTGGAATTGCTAAATTCTTTTGAGAAAAAATATAGTGATCCTGGCCCTGTGTATGACTGCTTGGTGTGGTCTGATGGTGAAACCTGGAGGTAAGCTTCATGTATTATATTGACCTTCACTTAAAAAAAATGCTTTTATCTACACTGAAGAACATTTAAGCCCCCAGAACTGTCCAGAGAGTTACTTAACTGACATTAATATCACCAATCAGAAATATTTGAGAGCCAAACTTCTGGGTAGTTTTGGATAAACCCTTTGAACTTCTTGGTATGTTAGATAGTAAGCCTGACCCTTACGTGTTTTAAAGAAGCTTGTTGCATTAACAGACAGTAACTGTTAACCAAACATTAGCAGGTTGATTATTTGTAGACATAGGAATGTTCCTGATTAGGGCGGGGCAGTTTGGAAAGAGAGTTCTGCACAGCATCTGCTATTAATGTTTTAAGGACAAAGGAGTACAGTTGAATGAAGGTTTCTCAAATAGAGACCAGGTAGCTAAGCTGAAGTGGGGCAGTAGAACACATTTGTGAAGAGCTCAGTCTCTGGGATGGGATCCTAGCTGTGTGACCTTGAACACTGCCTACTCCTCCAAGCCTGTTCCTCGTCTGTTAATTAGAGTAATAGTAGTGCCTCCTGGAGGGTTTTGGGAAAATTAAATCCGATGTTTCTAGACTCATAATCCACCTGATAAATGTCAGCTCTTCCCCCCACTGCTACCTTTGTTACTACTAATAGCGATGGTGTGGACCAGGTTACCTGTCATGTACACCTGTCATGTTCTTTCTCAGTGGATTGTACACAGCAGGCATGTTTCTTGTATTTGGCTAGTAAATGTCTTCTTGCATTACTGTCTGCGTGGAAGTGGGAGTATGGCCTTAATACAGGTCTTTAGGCATACATGTTTTAAAAGGGTTTCCACAATAAATCAGAGACTCCTCTCTGAAACTCAAAATCAACAAGCAGCTTTTTTTGTAGTTGGAGCCTCTGCTCATACACAGAGGATCGTTTCCCAAGATGTGGCAAACACAGAACAAGTTGTAATGACTTGATTACTTTTCTCAGATCATTTACATTGCAGTGCACCATTCCTAAAGGAGAGCTTTACTCCCGTCGATGTGGGTGCTGACTCATCTCTGATAATGGGTATATAACATTTTCGGCTGAATGAGAAATCCCCGTTCCATTCGGAACTGAAAATGTTAATAAGATAATTTGCATATAGCAACATTCTGATCCATATGATATTAAATATTAATGCATTTTTTTGCATGTATTTGAGTATTTTTTTTGTATAGATGCAGGTGTGCACATGCCTGTGAACTATTTTATTTTTCTTTAAAAACTTCACAGAAAGCTTGGATCAGAGTATAATATTAAAAAGTGTTCAGTCGCTTCTCGGCCTTTTGGCTAAGATCAAGTGTAAAAAGTGTTCAGATGCATGGTTTAGCAAATTTGGTACATCCACCACATGGTGTAAGATGATATAGTCATTCCCAGTGATAAGCCTTAGGTGATTTTTAGCGTTGGAGAGGACGCAAGGTTAAGGTTAAATGTGAGGAGAATACTAGATACAAAAATGAGTATAACTGGGCAAATACACCACAAGGGCTTAAAGAGATACTCTAATATTAGCAGGGATAGGGTAGTGGGGCAATAGGTGGTTTCAGTTAGAACGTTTCCTACCTGAGTTGAAAACACTGCCAGCTTTGCCCTAAGGGAAAGGAATTTGGGTCAGGATGTCCAGGGTGGCAGTATGTGTTTCCAGGATCTTTAAGACAGTTGACAAAGCAAGGGATACACTGCAACAGATTGTCAGCAGTCTTCTAAGACAACTTTTATAATTTTTGCATTGGAAATGAAACTCAAAAGCTGAAGTTACTGGGGTAACAATTTAGAAAATGTTATAATCCCTGAAAAATGCAGCAGAATTATGCTGTCAGGTATTATTGGAAATAACTTAACTTTCGTTTGCATGATACTGTATATTTTATGGGGCTTTAATTCCCCCACCCTGTCTCAGAGCCAGAATATTTTTTTTCTTCTTTTTTAAAAAAATTTTTATTTTAAAAAATTTTTTTTCAGTGTTCCAGAATTCATTGTTTATGCACCACACCCAGTGCTCCACGCAATACGTGCTCCCCATAACACCCACCACCAGACTCACCCAACTTCCCACCCACCTCCCCTCCAAAACCCTCAGCTTGTTTCTCAGAGTCCACAGTCCCTCATGGTTCGTCTCCCCCTCCGATTCCCCCCAACTCCCTTCTCCTCTCCAACTCCCCATGTCCTCTGTGTCATTCCTTATGCTCCATAAGTAAGTGAAACCATATGATACTTGACTCTCTCTGCTTGACTTACTTCATTCAGCATAATCTCCTGTCCCGTCCACGTTGCTACAAAAGTTGGGTGTTCATCCTTTCTGATGGAGGCATCGTACTCCATAGTGTATACAGACCACATCTTCCTTATCCATTCGGCCGTTGAAGGACATCTTGGTTCTTTCCACAGTTCGGCGACTGTGGCCAGTGCTGCTATGAACATTGGGGTGCAGATGGCCCTTCTTTTTACTACAACTCGACCATTCTCTTATACCATATACAAAGATAAACTCAGAGCCAGAATATTTTGAGGAGAATCTTAGAGATCCCAAATTACTTAGGGCAAATCCAGGCACTGTCATTGCAGAAATGCCAGCCGTTTCTGAGGGGAGGTAAAATGACCTTAAGTGCCTTGACTTTTGTTTTTACAAAGACTGTCCACCATTAAACCCTTATCGCTGCACTTAGCCCGTAACCTAGCATAACGCTACCCTTAAGTATTTGTCAGGGCATATATGGGTCAAACTCACTGTCACTCAATATGGAGCAAACACTGGTTGAGAAGACAATATTTATAGAGGATTACATGAAGAAAAGGCCATTAACTGGTTTCTTTTCATTGGTTTTTGACCTTGTTATCTCAGATTTCCTTTGAGTTTGATGAAAGCTATGGATTTTTTCCACAGAAAATTGGACGAAAAAATGTATTACAGAGTCTGGGAATTTATAACCCAACCTCCCTGTTATGTCCCGCCTCACACAGGTACTCAGATCCTACCTGTGAACCTCATTTCCGTGTTCCCTTTCTGGTATTCTGACACTTGTCCTTAAACTAAGCCAGCCACCTTCAGAAAGTCATGCTCTTGTACCATATGCATACTTGGCCTCTGTGGAGTTACTGAGGAAGTCACTCAATTCTATATTGGTGTTTTGATACAGCACTTGAATGTTGAGTCATTTCATACTGGTGGTGGTTACAGGAAACTGATCTTGGAATATGTCCGTGTATTTGCTGTGAGAATGATGTTGATTCCTTCATTGTTTCATCTTTTGGCAAATATTTGTACCTTCTTTGTACCAGGTAGACTGTAGAGAAGCTATTCCGTGGACTCTAGACTGTGGAAGCAAGTGTGAGAACATCTGAGCCCATCTCAGAAGCATCAGGAAAGATTTCGTTGAAGGATCAGCTCAAGTAGCAGAGAGGGTAGGGACAGGGTTTAGAGTAGAGGAGAACGTCAAGAGGATGTTGGAGGGACTGCCAGGAATTTCAAGTATCTGATGGGCTGGATGAAAGAAACCAAGGACCTCAGAGATGATTGCCAGGATGGATACCGGCCCGTTTAATGCTTTCAGGATCAAAAGTGCTGCTCTGTCTAGCAGATGGGGAGATCTGGTGGAATACATCTTAACCTATTAATCTCAGTCCTAATTCCATCTGATACGCTACACGTTTTCTGTTTGTCTCATTTTCCCCACTGTCCCAACTGTCATAGTTTGTTAATGAGATAGCATTTATAAGAAATGCTCTATTCTAGTGGGCTTCCATTAACTCACTGTAGCAACTGTGATTGACTTCTACTTGTTAAAACAGTTTTTCTTATCTAGCAAATCTGCACAAGGACCCAATAGCTAAAAACATAATGTTGACTTTTAAGTAATGTGCATTCCATTTATGATTTTTATTTCAGATTTATTTAGCTTTAATCAGATACTTTGTATTATTTGGAATATATATTTTAAAAATTATAGCAGGAATAACATGGGGAAAGAACAAACAGGAGGATAACCATAAAACTATGTAGAAAGTACTTTTGTAAACGATGTTTGCCTGAGACTGTTAAACTGTGGGAGTGGGACACCGTCTATAGTTCATCTAGTTTCAAGGAGGCTGCACACAATGTTGGATTCATGAAACCAATTTTAAAAGAAGCAGAAAGGAGTAAGGCCTAGGCTGTGTGTCATAATCATCCTGAATTAGTCTAAAGCTGGAAGCTAAGCTTTGGTCTAATTTCTTAAGTGGCCAGATGGTTTTCTGCCCGGAGTTTTGTGGTGGATGGTGTTCCTAAAGTCCTTTATACATGCCTTCATTTAAAGACTGGTCCTTTAAGCTTCTTTCCTAATCTTTACTGGTGACTCTGAAACAGCGGACTCTAAACCTGGCAGTTACTGTGTTTGTGGTGACAAAATAAACAAGGCAGTAAGAAGGTACCTGATAAACCATACAATGTTACTTTTAGAAAGCCAAAGAAAACAGATAAATTTCACTATCTGTTCTCAATTTACAGAGCCTGCATTGATTCAAATGAAGATGGGGATTTGAGTAAATCTACGGTATTAAGAAACTACAAAGAGGCCCAAGAATACGGTTCCTTTGGCACAGCTGAGATGTTAAATTACTCTGTTAATATATATGATGATGGAAACCTGCTCTCCATTGTGACCAGTGGAGGTATTCTGTTTCAGATTTACTAGTTACTGACGTGGTAAGGTGCTGCTACTATAGCTATAAAGTACCCTTATAGAGAATTTAACTCAGCAATTCTATCTAAAGAACTAGGTATGGGATAATAAATAGGATTTGATCCCCTTAGTAAGGTATTGTTTTCTTTAAAGTCAAAACCATGTAGGATCCATTCCAAGAGTACAAGCATGGTCCAGCCACCAAAAAGAAAAATCAATATAGGGGCGCCTGGGTGGCTTAGTGGGTTAAGCCTCTGCCTTTGGCTCAGGTCATGATGTTGGAGTCCTGGGATCGAGCCCTGCATCCGGCTCTCCGCTCAGCAGGGAGCCTGCTGCCCCCGCCCCCGCCCCTTGCTCTGCCTATTTGTGATCTCTGTCAAGTAAATAAAAATGTTTTTTTAAAGATTTTATTTATTTATTTGACAGACAGAGATCACAGGCAGGCAGAGAGGCAGGCAGAGAGAGGAAGGGAAGCAGGCTCCCTGCTGAGCGGAGAGCCTGATGCAGGGCTCGATCCCAGGACCCTGGGATCATGACCTGAGCCGAAGGCAGAGGCTTTAACCCGCTGAGCCACCCAGATGCCCCTAAAAATATTTTTTAAAAAAATCAGTATAATTCATTTCATGAAAATTCCTTTGGAAGGAATTTTACTTCCACATACTACCTCTTAAGCAGTTCACCTCCACATACAAAGTCAGGTAAAAAGCTCCTCATGTGGCATTCAGTGTCATTTCAGAAAAGTTGGGAACTATCCAAATACCCATTAACAAAAGAACAGGCTAATTTAAAACTGTGTAGTATTCATTGTGGAATATTATATAGCAAACAAAATGAATAAATCTACATATACCTATATTTATAAATCTCAAATACAAAATTTTAGTGAAACGTACATTGATAAAACATTGTGTAAAATTGTAAAACATGCTAAATTATACTACACAGTATTCATGGATGTGTGTGTTTGTATGCTAAAGAATATAGATGGAAGGAATATACACACCAGCTTCCGGATAGTGGTTACTTCTAGGGGGGAAGCAAGGATGGCTTTAACTCTTATCACTCCCTGTGCCAGTATTACTGAGTTATAGTTGTGTACAGTAAACCGCATGCGTGTACACACAATTTGGTAAGTCTTGATAGATGTGTACGCCCAGGAAACCATTATCCCAGTCGAGATAATGAACACGCCCATCACCCCCGTAAGTCTGCTTATCTTCCTTCCTCATCCAGCCCTGTGCACCTGCAGCCCCAGGTAGCTCCTGAACTGCTTTCTGTCGGTCCAGGTTCTGCATTTTCTGGAATTTTGTATAAGTAGAATAGTTACGGTATGAAATTCATCTGTATTGTTATAACTTGCTTGTCCCTTATTGCTGGGTGGTATTTCACTGTGTGGCTGCACCAGGGTTTATTTACCCACTGACCTGTCAGTGGACATTTGCATTGTTCCAACATTTGGGTCCAAGTCTCTGAGTGCAAGTATGTTTTTGTTTAATTTGGACTGGTATCTAGGAGAACTGGCTGGATGTGGTGGGTACGTATTTAACCTTTTAAGAAACATAGTGGCTGCACCCTTTTACACGCCACCAGCCAACTGCGAGCACTCCAGAGCTCCACATTTCGCCCCTCGGACTGGTAGCTGGCAGTGGCAAGTAGTCTGGAGGATGGGGATGACATTAAAATCCAGCTTCCCTATTTTTCATTGGAAAAAATAAGAAAGGAAGAATTGGCAGCGCTGGGTCCATATTCTTACGTGACAGCGGTTGTCTAGAGCGTGGGACTCTGAGCGTGGCAGCAGACAGAAGGCTCATGCGCTCCCATTTCTTCTGGAGCTACGACGACTCTGTTGTCACCCAAACATTAGGGCCCAGTGCCAGTAGGTGTTGACTGTCTATCTGACAGTAGTGGGAGATTTCTGTCTACCCATGTCTTTCAAAAAACGTCTTCACTTAAAAAAAGAAACCCTGGCTGTTTTGTTTTGCTTTTGCTTTATTGATAATATGACGTACTAGAGAAAAGTATGCAAATCACAAATTGTATACACATTGAATTCTCACAAAATGGTTACTTTTGTATAACCAAGAAATAAAACATTGTCAAAGCCCCATCTTGCCTCTTCCTGAACACATCTACCCTCAGTCCTCCCAGAGTTAAATCTGGTCCTGATTTCTGTGACTGCATTAGTTTGAACCACCCAATAATAATGCTGTTTTTATAGGTCAGAAATGACTAAATAGGGGCACTTTCACATAGTTCAACCCAAGGTGATGTGTTTCCATTTATATACATGGGGTTATAGATAAACCTTCTGTTTGTGAATTCTTTAGATCAACCTTATTTTTGTGTGCATCCGTAATGTTTAGAAGTAGTTCCTGTTTATTGTTGTATCATATTAATCCACAGATGCACCATATGCCTGTTTACTATGGATGGATCTTGGGATTGTTCCGAGTTTTGAATTCTGCAAGCGATGGCTGCTGTGAATGTTTTTGCATGTATCTTTTAGCGTACATGTGCGCTCTTTGTTGGGTGTAAGGCCAGGAGTGGAATTGCTGGATCATAGGGTACACCTGTGTTCAGCTTTCCCCAGTGCTGCTCTCTACGACCAGTAGTGTAGGAGTGCGTGCATGCCCTCCTGCGTAGCTGCCGTTGTCAGCCATAAAGGTGCAGCTGTTCTGAAAGTACGCTGAGCTGTCTCACCGTGGCTTTGATTTGCCTTCCCCAGATGACAAATGGAGTTGAACATCTTTTCATATGTTGATTTGCTATTTGGTTATCCCCTTCTGTGAAATGCTTTTTAAGCGTTTGACCCACTTGTCTTCTGGGTTCTCGCTCTTGGATTGGGAAGCGTATATTCTGGATATAAGCTCTTTGTCAGTTGTGTGTGTTGCAGATACTGTCGCCTCTGTAACTTGCATTGTGCTTTCAACAAAGAGGATAGAATCCAGGGTAGCAGGATAGTGTATGTAGTTCAGAAAGTTTCGTGTTTTGTTTGAATTATTGATGAGACTTACTAATACACAGGTAGGGTTAAAGTGAGGGAATATTTTTATTAGATTATTTTTATCATGCTTAATAATATGTAAATTGAATGATTAAAACTTTTTCTGAAAATATGCTGTCGTGTTCCCCTCTTTTCACCTCTAGGAGCTCATGGAACCCATGTAGCTAGTATAGCTGCTGGGCATTTTCCAGAAGAACCTGAACGGAATGGTGTGGCTCCTGGTGCTCAAATTCTTTCCATCAAGATTGGTGATACCCGACTGAGCACAATGGAAACAGGCACGGGCCTTATACGCGCTGTGAGTGTTCGGGAGGTGTTGATTTGGAATATAAATGATGGGTAACTGTGGATGGTTCTAGGTTTATGAAGTGTTCTTGACTTTACTAAGAAAATATTGGACTGTATTTGGTATACTGGGCTTTGTTTTAGGAAGGAAAAACTCAATGCAGTTTTAAATTATTTTTATTAAAAATTATTAAGATGTAATTTTTCAGAAAATATGGAAATATTATATTATACTTCTCACTTCTGTTAAGCCCCCTGGCACACTATTTTGAGATACTTTAGAAAACCCCAAACCGACCTTTTAGCCAGCTTGTTTCATCAGTCTAAGAAGAATTTAACTTACAGTCTGCATTTCATTTTAACGTATGAATTAGATTTTACTTTAACTTCAGTGATTTTAGAATTTAGTAAGAACCGTTCCATTCTGCACATGCTATTTGTGTTTTTTATTGACTACTTATTATACTCTGTGTCTCTGCTTTTTTTTAAGTTTTCCAATTTAAAAGTTGAAAGTAACATACACATTTGGATTTGAAATAGAAGATGGTTGGTTAAGAAACTGGGATTCCGTGCCTTTATTTTACTGGCCAGTCTTTCTATAAACCGCTGCCTAAACTAGACTCTTCATCTTTTTGATAGATGATAGAAGTCATAAATCATAAGTGTGACCTTGTCAACTACAGCTATGGAGAAGCAACTCACTGGCCAAACTCTGGGTGAGTGTTCCCGGGTGCTTAGCCGATGGCGAGCACTGAGTGTGTTTATAACTGGATTGTACACCACAACGGAAAACGAGCAGTGCCACGCTTAGATGACAGTTTGTATCTCGTGGACCTCCAGCCCCCGCTCCCACCATCCTGTCTGTGATGTCGTGATGCCCTCGTAGCCAGGAAGACTCGCTGGCCCTTCCCTCATTACAGGTCCTTGCTTACAAGTGGCCTGAACTCTGGCAGGTGCACCGACCTGACAGAGCGCTAGACTTGCGGCAGCCTCCCGGCCTCCTGAGCTTATTATTAGCTGCAGACGCACACTCACGCTGCACTCTAAGTTCATGAGCGGGAATCTCAGATAACGCACTCAGCATTGTTTTCCATCATCTGCATTTGCTCTTTCACTCCTGTATGGCCATTTACGTCACCTTTTCTCCTCGAAGACCTTCCGCGACTTCTTTTCTTCCCTCAACTGGTGTTCTCACCTCTTCCTTTCCCAGAGAAGATAAAAGCCCTCCTAGGGGGCTCCTGACCTTCCTACAACCTACTCTGACCCCACCTTCTCTGCCTTCCCTTCTTGTGTAATAAATGAAGTATTTGCGGGGGCATCTGGGTGGCCCTGCTGGTTAAGTGTCCAACGCTTGGTTTCACCTCAGGTCACGATCTCAGGGTCATGGGATGGAGCCCCGCATTGGGCTCTGCGCTCAGCACAGAGTTTGCTTGAGATTCTCTGCCTCTTTCTCTCCCTCCCCTTCTACCAACCTGCCCATCCCTAACCCCCCAACCCGCACTCAAACGCGCACATGCACACACACACACACACACTCTCTCTCTCTCTCTCTCTCAAATAAATAAATGGATAAAATCTTTAAAAATTAAAAAAAAAAAAAATAAGTGAAGTGCTCAAGGTTAAAAGTCACCCATGCACTGGTTATCTAGTTTGCCGTTTCCTGTCCTTAAAAACTGCTCCCAGACAGGCAGAACGCTTCCTTTCACACAACTTTCCCTTGTTCTCCCAGCGAGCATGGTTGGTTGGCGTAGTCACCGTTTCTGGGGCTCCCTGGTGCATTTTGATGTACGTCACACGACTTCCTGCCTGTCTGTGTCATGGTGTCCTCCTGCTGCTAAATTCAGTGGCTCAGCCTTGAAATCATGTTACTTCACCTTTTTTTTTCTTCATAATAATAACTGAAATTACTTCATTTAGTGTGTTTACTTAGTAGTGACTTCCACCTCTCCCGCATTCCCACCCGGCCATCCATATCTACCTGTCACCCAGTTTCTGAAGCTCTTTAATAAAGCCCTGCCAAAATGAAAATATTACCAAGCCAGGCCCTATAGTTGCTGTTTTCAAATAACTCAGTTTTCTCAGATGACTGGTGCTGGGTTTCTTGTGACACCTCGCTTTCTTGCCCTTGTGACAATGACCCTGTCGTCCTCACTCATTTCTTTTGTGAATGTAATCTTGCCCTCTTCTCTTGCTTCAGTACCTTTTTTACCTAAGTGTGTTTCTTTCTCTCTTCCTTTGACGTTCATCCTTTTAAGGTCATCTTTCTGTAATATTTTTCCCTTCACACTCAGGATTGGGGTGTTCTTGACCATGTGCCTTTTTTCTATTGACTGCATTTTCTCGATGGTCTAACTTCATCTCCTTTATTTAATACCAGTACATTTTTTGTTTGCTGTCAACTTCTAACCAGAGTCTGTATTTTAAGCCTACTCTAGAGTTCTTCCTGTTGCCTTAGTTCCCCTTCACCTTTGCCACTAATCATAAATACATGTAGGAATTCCTCTGCAGAGTCATTTCTAAATACATGATATTAAGGGGAAGATGCAAGTCAAACTGTCTGTTCCCCACTAATCTAATCAGTCCCTGCTATTATTTCCGGATTTGCTTTGGGTCCTTTGTGGTTTCTTTTGCCTACATACATTCCATGTGTAATCTAGCATTCTTCCCACATTGACCTTGGTCTCATGACTCCTTCCTGACACTAAAACCCAGCTGAGGTCTATCTCTTGGCTTGGCTGTGTCATGTTCCACCAATGGTGGATATGCCAAAGTGTACTCAGCTGCACGTTCAAACAGTAATTTATTATACACACTGGGCTGGGAATAAGGTGAATGTCCCGGCTTCTAATGTACACCTCTTACTTGTAGCCACTGTTTCAGTTCTTCTACGTAGAACCCATAGTTTCATTTGGTCTTTATGAAAGCCATATTTGAAAATCTCTTCACAGTGTAATCGTGTTTTGAAAAATGGCACTGTTTTGTGTGTTCAAAGAACTTCTCTCTGTCTTTCAGGAGAATTTGTGAAGTCATCAGTGAAGCCGTGTGGAAGCATAACATCATTTACGTCTCAAGTGCCGGGAATAACGGTCCCTGCCTTTCCACAGTCGGCTGCCCGGGTGGAACGACATCCAGTGTCATAGGTTAGTGTCCTGCTCTAGAAATAGACTTGTTTGAAAACAAGCAAACAAGAAGCTCGACAAATCTGATGTTAATTGTATCTCTACTGTATGCAAGCCCTTGTGAACCTTGAGTGTGTGCCCTCAGGCGAAGCCTGGTGGAGAGCCGCTGGCCTGAAGTGGACTGAGGGAAGAGGTGTAAGGCAGGGCCAGGGCCAGTCTGCGTTTGCAGAAGTGCAGTTACTTCTGATTCAAGGATCCAGGCGAGGCCTTCTGAAAAAAGCGTGCCAGTGAGGACTTAGGTAGTTAGAAATGAACAAGGAAGGAGTTTTCCAGACTATGTGAACAACGTAAACGCAGATACTTGCCTCACTTTTTATTTATAGTATATGACTATTTATTTATAATATAGTTTCCTCCTTTAATTTCTCTAGGGACATACAAAGAGAGTCAGATGTCAAGAAAGGGAGCTTTACTGATGAGAAAGAAAAGCAGTTGAAACAGTTACTCTGTGAACGTGGCTTCTCTTCCCCGGTTTAGTCTGGAGGGTGAGATGCTGTGTTGTCTGTTTCACGGTACTCAGTGGGGAAGGTTGCCCGGCAACAAGAGTGAAGGGAAATCAGCATGAGCTGTGTACGTAATATGAAAACGATAAAATTAGCTGTGGCTGCGAACTTGTGCGAAAACACCCACAAAACATAACACCCAGCCCTGTTTTTTTAATACGAGGCATGAATGAGGAGGGTAATGAACTGAGAGAACAAATACATAGTAATTGATGATGCCTACTAGCATTTTTGCCTTTATTTTGAAGTTTGAGAGCAAGGTAAGGCTAAAACCCTTACCATTTGTAATTGGATGCATGACAGGAAACGCTGTTTTGTCCCAAATAATTTTTCTGGTGTGTTCATCAGTAACTGCTTGAATGTATACATATTATAGTAATTATTAAAGGCATACAGATATTGTAGCTGTTACAGATACGTAATAACATTTGGGTATCCAAGTTTAGAAAACTGGTCCTTTAAAAAATATAAATAGCAGTGATCTTAGCTTATAGGGAGTACTTTTATTTATAGCTTCTGAGTCTCAAGCAAGGTGTAGCTTGCTTTGTATAATTTAAAACCTCGTGCTGAAGTGATTCCGTTAAATCCTGTGTTGAGACAACAGTGCCTACCAGTAATCTGTCCTTTGTATTTCAGTTCTCTAGATACTTTAAATACACAAATTAAAATGAAACAGAGAATAGGACTGAAAGGTACCTGAAGATCAAAATCTACCCCTCTGCCACAGTACTCAGTATTTTAGCATTTTCTTATCTCCAGACTCACTGAAAAATTGAAACTATCTTATACAAAATGATTACAGTTTAATGTGGCAGCACAGTTCACCTAAATCCTCGTAGTTCATGTATTTTCTCCAGTCTTCTATTCTGCATATATGTGTGTTGTAAAGAATTAGGAGCCGGCGGACCTAGATTCTAAGTCTTCTCTCTGCCAGTCACTGTGCACTTAGTACATTTTTTCAGCCCTTTCTGGGTCCTGTTTCCAGATTTCTAGAATAAAGAAACTGAGTTTGATCCCTATAAGTCTGTGAATTTAGAGCCTTTTTGGCTGGTGTGCCTTTACATATTTATCGGAAAGACTGCGGCACGTTAAATGTCTTTGCTCTTTGCTTGTTTTCACAGCTATTTCGGGCAAGAGGGATACTGCCTACTCTGGGTAGAATTTTGGATACAGTGGTATTTAAGAATGAAGGCAAACCAATTCCCTTATTTTCCTAAAGTTATATTTTATAGTTTAAAACACATTTCTTTTTCTTTTACACACACAGTTTTAGGTATGTGTTTATATTTAATCTACATGATAATCCTGGTAGATATTTTTATATTCAAAACCAAAATACCTAGTTTAATGTCTGGTACATAGTAAACTTTCCTTGCTTACTAAATTTTCTTTCTCTCCATTTATCAACAAGGACTGTAGTACAGGATGATTGAGTGATTTGTCCACAGTCACACAGCTGAGTGAACAGTGGATTTAGAAATAGGATCTAATTTTATTTCTTTTGTTCATGATGAAATTCATCCCACAGGTGTTGGTGCGTATGTTTCTCCTGATATGATGGTTGCTGAGTATTCTCTGAGAGAGAAATTACCGGCAAATCAGTACACATGGTCTTCAAGGGGCCCCAGGTAGGTTGAGAGTAGTACGTGGGTCTTTTGCAACTTGTGGTGGGGAGGGACAAAGTTTTGGTAACTTTACCAGGTACTTTTTGGTTTTTACTTTTCAACATTTTCATTTTGAACAATCTAATTTGAGGGAAATGTAATTAAAGGAATAAATCAGATATTTTATTGTTAGATGTATGACATAACTGTTCTGAGTATAAGGTTAGAAAAATTGGGACACCTGGGTGGCCCAGTTGGTTGAGTGTGTGTCTTTGGCTTAGGTCATGATCTCCAGACCCTGGGATTGAGCCCTCTATCGGGCTCCCTACTCAGCAGAGAGTCTGCTTCTCCCTCTCTCCCTCTGCCTGCCACTCCTCCCGCTTGTGCTTGCTCTCTCTCTCTGTCACACAAACAAACAAAATTGTAAAAAAAAAAGGGGGGGGGGGACTAGAGAAATTGGTTGGATTCAGGTCAAATGTGGTAATGCCAAATTTAATCCTCTGAGTTATAGATAGCCTCTACTCTGTCCTAGATAATTTCTTAAAAAAATAAACTTATTTCAGTAGTTTACTATAACTGTTATTGCAACCATTCGGGCTATAGATCTCCATGTGGTTCATCAAGCCTTACCTGTATCAGCACCATATACTGCCCACATCAGCCCAACTAATTGCTTAAAACTCCACATCTGAATAAGAGTGGCCAGGATTCAGAGCCAAAGCTGGCAATGTTTTACAAGTTACAGATTCAGTTAATAAAAGTATTAATTATTAAATTTGTTGATTCTCTTCTAAGATTGATTTTAAAACATTTTATCTACGGTCAGTATAAGCACAAAGTGTCAGAGAATGTTTAAACCATCATTGGTTTAATGTTTAAATGTTAAACATTTAAAGAATTTATTTCAAGAAAAATGGGTTCATGAATTATGGGGGAAGCTTGGATTAAGGAGATACTGATTCACAAACCAATTATTCTAGGAATTGAGAGAATCTGTTCATGTTTACTGTACCATAAACATGGAGTTTTATTGCAAATACATGGTGTAATTATTAGGTTTAATTATTAGGGTATAAAACATTGACTAGTGATCAATGAATGGAGCATATTCTATGTACTATTTGAAAAATCCTCTTTGTCAGGAAAGACAGTCAGACATACAGAATTTACTTGACTTCCTGGTGTTTACAAGTATGGCATAGTTCTTAAAGACAGATTGCCAAATACTGTCTACATAAGCATGTTTTGAATGTTTATTATATACTGTTAGAAGAAAAACATCATAAGCTTTTTAAAGGAAACTTACATAATGCTTATGTAAGTTTTTAAATAAGGAATATGAAAGGTATATGTAAGGAAATTTTTAAATTATATATTATGACTTTTTTAAAATAGGCTCCACGCCCAACATGGGACTTGAACTCACAGACTGAGATTGAGTCACAGCTCTATTGACTGAGACAGCCAAGCACCCCCAAATTTTATTTTTTAATAAAAATTATATATCATGGAGCCCTTTTTAGGGCACTTACTAAATGCTTTTGATTAATCACTGATAGAGTAGTGTAAAATGAATAAAGAGCAATGGAATGTAGTCATGTAGAATTTATGACTCTTCCAGTTACAAGATACCACGTGCTTATGGTGAACGTTGGTAGACAATATAGATGGTGCAAAGAAGAAAGTAAAAATTACCCGGGGGCACCTGGGTGGCTCAGTGGGTTAAGTCTCTGCCTTCAGCTCAGGTCACGATCTTAGGGTCCTGGGATCGAGCCCCGCATCGGGATCTCTGCTCAGCGGGGAGCCTGCTTCCCCCTCTCTGTCTGCCTGCCTTTCTGCCTACTTGTGATCTTTCCGTTTCTCTCAAATAAATAAATAAAATCTTTAAAAAAAATTACCCTAAATCTCATTGTCTGTGATGTGTTTGAGTGACATTTTGGTGCACATTCTTTTAGGCATTCTCCTATGCGTAAATGGGAGATCACACTGTTCAGGCACCTTTGCAACCTTTTGTCACACAGTAATACTGTATGAAAATCTTTATAGGTCAACATATTTTTAACAGTGTTTATTTTAAGATAGTCACTAAACGGTGTGCCACCAACGCATCGCAGGAGAAGGATCTGATTTACATTGCTCTCAGCTCTCTGTGAAAATCTGAAACCAAATTGCACTAGTATTCTTAGCTAGTAAGAAGAATAGTCCAGTCAGTTGGAGAAGAGTGGTAGAAGGGAGAGGCCAACAGCTTTTGTGGGGAACTTCCGGCCATTCTTCAGGGAGGACGAAGTTAGTGTATCGTCATCTTATTCCTTTACTTGGGGCGGAGGGCAGAGCTTGTGTTCGATGACTAAAATGGTGATGTGCTGTGTGGACATTATCTCATTAGCCCTATGTAGTCAAGAGCCCTCAACGAGGGGGACTTGTGGACTTGAGCCAACCAGTATGACAGCCGTGAGTCACGTGAGGTTAGTCTGAATTGAGATGTGCTCTAAGTATGAAATGTACATCACGTATTTAAGACTAGTACAAAAAAGAATATAAATTAACTCATTTTTTCTACTAATTACATATTGAAATTATATTTTGGCTATTTTGTGTTAAATAAAATACATTATTAAAATAACTTTTACCAGTTTCTCATTCGCTTTTTTTAAAATGCGGCTATTGGAAACTTAAATGCCCTCTGGGGGCGTCTGGGTGGCTCAGTCGATTAAGCCTTGGGCTCAGGTCATGATCTCACGGTCAGGGATGGAGCCCCGAGTTGGGCTCTGCATTCAGCAGGGTGTCTCCTTGTTCCTCTGCCACTCCCCCTGTTGAACAACGCACACATGCAAGCACGTGCTCTTTCTCCCAAATAAATTAAATCTTTAAAAAAAAAAATGCCCTCTGTGTCCCACGTATTTCTATTAGACGACGCTAAAACTTTAGACAAAGCAAAGCTTCTACTTATTGCAGACAAGACAAAGTGGATTCATCAAGGAATCTAAGCAATGACATTTATTTCCCTCCAAAAATACACCTGATACCTTTTGCACGTGTATAAACACACTTACAAGATTCTGTTCTCTTTTAAGAAGATAATTGCTACATAATGGGGAAATAGCTGTGCTGGGCATTTTTCTAACTGATTGCAATCCTGCAAATTACCCGCGGTATTGGACTCCAATCTGTGTGACCAGTGGCCTTTTTTTGAATGCCCGTGCTTATCCGGTTCTCACCTTCGTAAGCAAACTTTAATGGCTTTTCGTTCAGTGCTGATGGGGCCCTTGGAGTAAGTATCAGTGCACCAGGCGGAGCCATCGCTTCTGTTCCCAACTGGACATTGAGAGGAACTCAGCTAATGAACGGGACGTCCATGTCTTCTCCCAATGCATGTGGAGGCATCGCCCTGATACTTTCAGGTAAGGACATTGCTTAGTGCTCTACGCGGTCGGACTTCCTACTGTTCCTAAATTCCAGGAAACAGATGGTGAATTTTCAGTTGATAGCATGATGTGAAGTCAGGCAGTAGCCATAAAAAATAATTGAATAAATTTCTCTTACCTTATTGCAGACAGATATTTGTGTTTTCTGAAATTCTCCTGGTAAGAAAATGTGTGGAATTGGTCATGTCCTAGCTCAAAGTAAAGTTTAAGATGGAGAATAATTGTGTGATAATAAGGATTCGAATGTGTATTCATTCATTTAACAAATACGTTTATCTGCTGTTAATGACTCTCAAACATTATTTTGGCTCGAAAGTACCTGCCCATGTGGAATTTGTCATAGCTACGGGAGACAGATTGTGAATAGAATTTAAAATTAGTTTATATCACATGTTAAAAAAGCAGTGAATATGCTGTGGGGATGACTAAGGTGAGAAGGGAGGTGGGAGTTTCTGGGGTGTTGTGCCGGAGGCTCACAGTGTTGATCAGGTGGCATCGGCATTGGCCAGGACTCAGTAACGGTCACCAAGTTGTTTCAGAGATTCTACCTTAGGAACATTCCTCTCGTGAGGTCCCAGGACTCTCTGCCTTCATTTCTGGTTTTCCTAAACCTCACCAGATCTCAGGGTTGCTCCTTGCTCCCATCCTTGTACAGCTTAGTCTTGTCTGCCTAGAATTCTTTTGTGCCATTTTTTGGCCTTGCAAACCCCTGTGCATTCTGGTAAGATTAGACTCCTGTTCCTTCCCTGATAGAGCATCACCTTCTTTCGGATTCTCACTGACAAAATTGGCCACTTTCTTGATTGACCGTAAAGCACCATAGTTTCATGTTTGTTTTGTTCATTTCTTACAATATCATAAATGCGCATGCATTTGATGAACTCTGGAGTGGACAGGAATGTGGTATTCCTCATCTTTTCTCTCTAGCAGCAGTGTTCAACACAGTTGACAAATTGGTGGCTTCCACATCTTTCCCATAGAATCGTCATTCCCATGCTGGCTACTCCCGGCATCACCCAGGAAGCTTTTAATCAGTATCAGTCCTGGGATTCAGTCTCGGAGATGCTGAATCAATTGAGCTGTGGTCGGGCCTTGGCATCTTTTTTGCTGGTTTAGGTTCCCTTGGTGTCTGTAGCAGCGCCAGGTTGATGAGTATCGGCGGTAACCATATCACTTGACCAGCTGTGTTTTCAAGATTCTAAGTAATCTCCACACCCAACGTGGGGCTCAAACTTACAACCCCAAGATCAAGAGTCACGTGTCCTACCATCCAAGCCAGCCAGGTGCCCTCTTGACCAGCAGTGTTTTCAAAGAAAATGTCATTTGAATGCCTTCAGGTAACTGCTTCACACGTCTCCATCACCTTTGCAGAGCGCTCACTAGTGCCCTTACGTAATGCGCACGCAGTGATTTTTGTTTGCTGAAGTCCACGTGCTATGGCAGCAGTTTGAGTCAGGCTGTTATAGTTCAGTTTTTCCAAAAACATTAAGAAATGAGGGTTGAAACACAGGATGTTAAAGCCAGAGAATGTACATGTTATCTCTGCTGGTGCAGGGAAAAATGTTTCAAGGAGCAAACTCTCTAATACTCCTTTCTTGCTTTTGCTTTTTAATTTCAGGTCTGAAAGCTAATAATGTTAACTACACGGTTCATTCAGTCAGAAGAGCTCTAGAAAACACTGCAGTAAAGGCTGACAATATAGAAGTATTTGCCCAAGGACATGGTATTATTCAGGTAGTGTTGTTTTTTATGAGAAATGGATTAATCAACAAGATTCGGTCTTAGCTATTACTGGGTAATATTTCCTGTTATAATGGTGATTGAGTTTATCTAATTTTACATTATATGACCATAATAGTTTCTGAACTGGTAAGTAAAAAGGATATGAAATCTGATTTTGTAGTTAAAACAAATTTGTTTCATTAAGAGAGAACTACAATAGACCTAATACGTGTGGAGGGCAGAAATTCAAAGTGAAGATGTCGAGGGAAAAACCTATGAATCTCATGGTGTATGGAGGAGTTCCTGACTTTGGTCACTCGGGGCTAGCGGTGTGGAGCTAGGGGTGAGTGGTTGGGCTGGTGTGTTGTTTGAAAAGGTAGAATTGCCCTCTTGCTTGGGGTTACCATGTTTAGAGGCAAATGTAGAAACTAGCTTTTCACCTGTACTTTTTCACAACTGAAATTAAACTAGTAATTTATAGCAATGTTTTCTTGACCCAACCACTGATACTTTATTGTTTGTGTTCTTTTAATTAGGTTGATAAAGCCTATGACTACCTCGTTCAGAATACATCATTTGCTAATAAATTAGGTTTCACTGTTACTGTTGGAAATAACCGCGGCATCTACCTCCGAGACCCTGTTCAGGTGGCTGCACCTTCAGATCATGGCGTTGGCATTGAACCTGTATTTCCAGAAAATACTGGTGAGTAATAAATGGACATTAAGCTGAAGTGCTCACATTTGTGGTTTGAGTGAATACTGTGGTATGAGAGAAATGCCATTCGAGTTCATGTATTATAGAGAAACATGAGTCGACAGTATTATTTTAAAATCCTACATGGTTTAAGAGGGATGGATGTGGTAGCAAAGCAGGGATCCCAGTGTCATCGCAGCTCAGCCTAGTAACCACTGAGGAAAACAGTAGCCTGGGCTGTCAGTGACCTAGGGTTTTACCGAATTTGGGGTAGTCAAATGTCCAGTTCCTTTTCTTTGCCACTCTTACTACTTGGGTGTAAGAGGGAGTTTTGGTTGGAGATTGGGAAGTAGAAGCAGCCAGGGAGAACCACAGCTCAAGGAGGTGTAAGCAAAGTAGTCACCACTGTGTACTTGGCGTCTTCCTTTCAGTCAGATGCTGTTATCTGCGTGCAGTAATGACAGATACGAAAACACCTTATTTTAAGGCTACAGCCATGTTGGATAAACGTGTGAACGGGTTACAAGTGCCCTAAGATGTAGGGAAGGTTCTGTGAGTGCTTTATTTAAGCTGTGTTTTGGAACCCCAGGCCCTAGTACATTTTACAGCTGATTGAACTCATCTGCTAGATAATTTAGGAGAGGATTGAACTTTTTAAAATGGAAGAGAAGGAAAAAAGTACTAATCTTTAATTTTTGGTCTTTTTCATGCTAGAAAATGCCGAAAAAATATCCCTTCAGCTCCATTTAGCTTTAACTTCAAATTCATCTTGGGTCCAGTGTCCCAGCCATCTGGAACTCATGAATCAATGTAGACACATCAACATACGTGTGGATCCGAGGGGCTTAAGAGAAGGATTGCATTACACAGAGGTATCGGTGCATCTTCATTGCTACTTTCTAAATACTCTTTAAAGCGTGTAAAAGTACCTTGTGTGGCAGGCAGTCTGTTTCCCCGTCGGTCTGAATCGGTCAGGGTTGGTTATGCACGCATTTGTTTATGTGCTGTTAAACACGTGACCCGACGCCAGAAAAAATGGCATCAACTTGTGTTGAAGATCTTTACATTTTAATGTGAGATTAACTTACTCTGTGAATAGGTGTCACTTTTTTCTCTCTCGTAGAAGTGTATGGCTACTGAAACTTACTCTCTTTTCAAGGTCTGTGGCTACGATATAGCATCCCCCAATGCAGGTCCTCTGTTCAGAGTTCCAATCACTGCCGTTATAGCAACCAAGTAAGTAATGAGTTGCCAACAGCTTACTGTCATGTGCAATTTTTTAATGGCTATTTATGGAAATAGGGTGAACTTTTAAAGATGGAGAGAGCAGAATCCGGTAACTGGGCTTTAGTTCTGCTTCTTGCTTACAAAGTTCAAGGTGCCACGTGGTCTTTCTATTGCTTTTTGACTGTGAGAATCCCCAGAGGCATCTCCCGTGCCCTGTGCCTGCACCAAAACTCCATGGAGCTGATGGTGCCCCCAGCTGCCTGGCCGTCTGCAGTATTGGACAGTATTACTTCGTCCCTCTTCCATCACCCACCCCCCTCCACCATCGTAACTCGTGTCTGTGGGATCACTGTTTTCTCTGGTTCTTCCATTTCTCCTGTCGGTTTCCAGACTCTCTCTTCCCATCTGGTCTACCACCCCAGGACCAGGAAACTCTGCTCTGTCATACTGCTTCCTGTTTAAAGTATATCCTGCCCAGGATCGTGCTCTCTCAGATAGCGAACAGCGGTCCCCGAGAGCCAGCATTTCCTGTCACCTGCCCGCCAGACTGCACCTTTGCACTCAGTCACTGGCGCTGGCGCTCAGGCTTCCTCAGGCTGGCTCGTTCCTAGTCCTCCCCAATGAAGGGAGTCCCTTCTTGCTCCTCATGGCGCTTCGTACATGCCAGTGGCACCGACTTGAGCCAGGACGTTGTCAGGTTTGGTTTATCCCACATGTGGGGCCGCTCAAGGCTCAGGGCCTGTGTCCTACCAGTTCCTCCGTGGAGCCCGTTATACAGTATCTTCAGAACAAACCAGACTGTTCAGTAGGTGAAGGACGAGAGTGAGATGAGAATCCCAAGGACAACAGGGAGTTCTCAGTTAACGGTCGGTCCTGAGTGAGTGAGCTGGAAAATAATCATCGCACAGCAGGTGTCAGCCCGGAAGAAATGTGGGGTGAAATTCAGGAGATAAAGAGTGACATACACACGTGGAGAAATTGTAAAATGCTTAAATTCTCAGGCAGATTTTCCCTGAAGTCCAGTAGGATATTAGACAAGATAATTTTTAAGATTCAGGAATCCGCTGAGATATCTTCTTCAGGAAGCTTTTCCACAAACACTTCCTGTCCACCCAGAGCATATTACTTTAAATGTTTCTGGTGGTTTTCTGTCCTCTGAAACTGGCCAGGGCAGAGAAGAATGCCGTATTTGTATTTGTGTTGTATTTGTTGTATATGTTGTGTATGTATTTGTGTTGTATGTTGTATGTTTATTTGTTGTGTGTTGTATTTGTAGCTCTTAACAGTGCCTCATGTAAACACTAGGTGCTCACTAAGTGTTTGTCATACTGATTAGAATTTGTCCTTTGCATATTCTCTAGGTTTCCGTAGTAGAATGTTACACATTTGACTTTTATGTGTCATTGGTTTCTTACAAAAGTGCTATGAAAATAATTTTCTTCTTTCCTGTGTCATTTATGGCATGAGGTGTTCTGGAGCTGTACAAGAGGTTTAATGCCAGTCTCAGAGCTGGAAGACAGTATAGTGATACAAAACATTACCTTTGATTTTAATATTTAGGACTTATGATAGTTCAGATTCTAATAGGGAAATCCTGTGAATGAGGAAGCTGTAAATTGTGTCTTTTAGACAAATTGTAATATAGACAAGTAAAAAGAAAAATCATCTACACTGGGCTATCCAGAACTTATATCACTGCTGACATGTTGCAAAAATGAGATAAGGCTGTGCACACTGTTTTGTAACCAACTTTTAAATCCCTGTGTTTCTTTCTGATCAACCGGTAAGATCTAGAGTACCAGTGGGCTTGTGATAATAAAGCCTTTTTGGGTGACATCTTCTCATTTAGCCGGTTTTTTTTTTTTATTTTCAGAGTAAATGAATCATCACATTATGATCTGGCTTTGACAGATGTACATTTTAAACCTGGTCAAATTCGAAGGCATTTTATTGAGGTTCCTGAGGGTGCAACATGGGCTGGTAAGTAACATTTGAGTCTGGTCCTGACCACTTTCTTTATCTGCCTACTATCTCTGCTAGGATTATGACCACAGGAAATTTATATGTCTCTAATCTGTGCTTTTGTCGTAATAGTACTATATCTGACACCCTATATTTGCTGTTAAGTTTGAAATATTCTAAGATCTCATACTCTTTTGCACTGGTTCATACATCAGATCATCCAGGCTATCTTAAGATGTTTTAATATTCAAGGTTTTAACTTAGTTTAGAATAATACTTTATCTGTTAATAATCAGAGTCAGAGTTGTATTGTTGAACAACTCTGGGCTAACTAATGCATTTAGGGCCCCATGGAATTGTCGAACAGTGAGCTCTGATAAAATGTACACGAAGAATACTAAAGGAATATCTATGATTAATTAATATTGAATCTGATACCTTTTCAACAGTAAATGCCAGTAATTATAATGCTCTAATTATGACTTGATTGGTATTGAAAATAGTTTTTTTTAAATAGGAATTTATAGAATAATCTGGAATGGAAGTAGCTCAGCTCTTTCAGCAGTCTTAGATTAGAATGTACTGGGAGAGGGGGAGGAAATGGGAAGATTGTGTTCAGAGGGTATAGACTTTGACTTATAAAGTGAGTAAGTTCGAGGACTCTAAAGTCCAGCATGGTGACTGTAGTTAACTATTCTGTATTATGTGTTTGAAATTTGCTAAAAGTCAGATCCGAAATAGTCTCACCATCAAAAAGAAAATTGGTGTAAGTATGCAAAGTGATGGATGTGTTAACTAGCCTTATTACAGTAATCATTTTACAATATATATGTATATATCAAATCTTCACAGTGTACACCTTAAGCTTACGGAACATCATTTGTCAGTTGTGTGTCAGTAAAATGGGGGATATAAAGCAAAAAAAAAAAAAAAATGTACTACAGATGTATCCTATTTCAAATAATTAGAAATGCTGTCCTAACACTAGATTTTTTATTCTTAGCAATTGATTAGGTTCACAGAGCTCTGCGCCCACTTGACCTTGTGAACCAGAGACGTAAGCCTTGCTTTAAGTTCCCTGTATTAGAGTGGGTGTGCATTAGATAAGATGCTGATTCTGCTTCACAGTGATTTTGGTTTTGCCTCCACCTCGGTCTCAGAATAAAGCTGAGAATGTGTAGTTGATGGTCATACTTTCTAGAAGTAGATAGGAGGGAGAGACTAGGAAGTTATCAATAAAATTGAATAAATAGACACGGAATTTAGGCATCCTCTTTTATCAGGAATTGGTTGGTTTCTAGCTAAAGGCAAGTTTCCCCATAGCACAGAGGGGCAAAGGGTTTTAAAAATGACCTGATTAGGGTCATTGTGTCCGTCCATGGACACCTGCTGTTCCGTGGTGTTTGCAGCATAGTGGTTGTTAATTTTAATACTGATTTGTTTATCTTCCTACCCTTTCATCGTGATTAATGTTTTGTTGATTCTTTGTTTTTAAGGAAATATGCAGATTTCTTTTGAATATATCATTTTATTCTTGAGATGTTGCTTTCTAAAGAGTTGGTATGCAAACAGTCACGTGTCCGTTTACAACTTGGCTTCCTCCCCTCATTTTAGAAGTCACTGTGTGTTCGTGTTCCTCTGAGGTGTCCGCCAAGTTTGTTCTTCACGCGGTACAGCTCGTGAAGCAAAGAGCATATCGAAGTCATGAATTCTATAAGTTCTGTTCCCTTCCAGAAAAAGGAACACTGACTGAAGCTTTTCCTGTCTTAGTAAGTTTTTAATTACTAATTTGAATTTTAATTACCAATTTGAAATCCCCAAAATGATTTCTTTCTTTTATTTTTGGTATGGGCTAAGACTGAGTATTGGAATTTGATTTTACAGTTTGTATATTCAGACTGTACTGGGGCTGGATATTTTTATTAATGCTGAATAAGCGAAGTAGGAAGGTGGGTAGTCTCAGTGGGATACTTGAGACCAAGTCGGAGGTAAATATTCATTTGAGCTCTTCAGTAAACGTAGTCAAAGGAAAGTGCTGGTCTGCCAGATTGTGACGGCTTACACTGCAAAGCTTGATTGGAACTGTTTCCTCATCACACAGGAGATTATTTCCTTGTTTAAGATTGTTCTACTTGTTATTTTATTAATGCCCAGCTGTCAACACTGCCGGAGGCTGTTCTGCTGTCTAGGTAAAGCCGCCACTGCTTCCCACCAGAATGGCCTCTGTGTGGCGGGTCCCCACCCTTTCCTGGACTGTATTCTTCCTTCATGGCAGTGGAATGCACTGATGTTCTTTCTTTCTTTCTTTCTTTTTTTTTTTAAAGATTTTATTTATTTATTTGACAGAGAGATCACAAGTAGGCAGAGAGGCAGGCAGAGAGAGGGAGGAAGCAGGCTCCCCGCTGAGCAGAGAGCCTGATGCGGGGCTCGATCCCAGGACCCTGAGATCATGACCTGAGCTCTGAAGGCAGAGGCTTAACCCACTGAGCCTCCAGGCGCCCCTGATGTTCTTTCTTAAGCCTGCTGCTTCCTGTGGTCACGCAGTGCTCGCATCTTTCCCATGTCTTTTAGGTCTCTGATGACTGCTGCTCGTGCTCTTGTCTGTTAGTGTCCTCTGACCCGTCTTCAAACTTTATAATGTACTGATTACTACAAAACCTAATTTAAAACTCAGTACTAAAAACAGTTTTTGTTTTTAATTTTTGTAATAGGGAGAAAGATGTAAATGAGCATAATTTCATTTTGTTTTGATTGCCGGGCAGCTCTGAGCCCCAAACTCAGCTGTGGTGTTAACTGTGCCTTATGGAGCTGTAGTGCACCTTTTCTTATCATTGTTCTTATCATTTTTCCTTTGGTCTGAAGTTTTTATTCCAGTTTGTTTTCACTATTATTTTGTTGTGTGCTCCCAAAAGCTGCCTCCGATCTTCTATGACAAGCACCGTAGGAGTAGATAGCTGTGTATTTAAGCGCCTGTCCTCTGTCTTTGCAACTGTAATTGTATAACTCCACGCACAGCTGTACAAATAGGAAAAGTCTGAAAGCTAGAATTGCTTTAAAACACTTACTATTTATAATCTGTATTTTGAAGGAAAATGAGAAAACGGATTTACATATTTGTAATTTTTATTGTTCTTTACAGGGTGGGAAAGCAATTGAGTTTTGCATTGCTCGTTGGTGGGCAAGTCTTAGTGATGTCAATATTGATTATACCATTTCTTTCCATGGAATAGTGTGTACTGCTCCTCAGTTAAACATTGTAAGTTCCACATTTCCATCATTTTTAATGTCAGTTATTGGTGTTATTGAAAAATAATCTCACTGGTTTTATTTAAACGTTAATGGGGCAGTGGTTCTGAAATAACAGTAGTTTCTGCTCATGGACACTTATAAACTTGGCATTACAGAGGTTTATTTTAGGTCCAAATGTTTTTTTAAAAATGTGGTTTATTACCAATAAAGTTTGAGAACCTAATTTGATAACTATCCTTTGTAGCATGCATCGGAAGGCATCAATCGTTTCGATGTTCAGTCCTCCTTGAAGTATGAAGATCTGGCTCCCTGCATCACCCTGAAGAGCTGGGTCCAGACCCTGCGGTATCATTGATGTGTTAGGGCTGCCAGTGTTGCGCATTGGCGTGGTGGGAGCGGGGACATCTCTTACACTCTTGCGCTCTGTAAATCATCTCAGTGCTGGAGATGAAAATGCAGTCTCTGACTCGCAGCATAGGCATCCTGGCAGCTCTCTAAGACACAGCCCCAGCAGTAGCTTCGGGCCTTAGGTAGCAAGTGTGTGAAGCTCTCGGTGTGGCATCTGCACGACCCCTCCTGTGACATGTCACCGCCATCTGCGATTTGCGGACAGGAGGCTGCAAGTCAAGCCCGCCTGGCCCTAACACCGTTAGCGGTTGTTTCCCTAATGTCGGGATCCAGTTATGCGAAGAGCTGTCTGTTGACACTTGAAAATGTTTCCATAATATTGCAGAATTTAAACTAAAGATTACGTATTGCCATGGTTCAGTCAGTAGAGAATTCTGGAAGCTGATGATTACAATATTATAAAATCTACCAAAAAGGACAGAGCTTAAAGATGCACATTGTCACTTGTTGTGCTGTGTTATAGATTATGTTTATTTCCAGTAAATGAACTCCTGAATCAAATTACTTCTGCATTTGTCTAATTACAGCCCACTGAGTGCGAAGACAAAACCTTTAGGATCAAGAGATGTGTTGCCAAATAATCGTCAGCTTTATGAGATGGTCCTGACATACAACTTTCATCAGGTGGGCGTTTATGTAAGAAAGAATAACCTCAAAATGAACTTCTGTATTTTGTTCATGAATCATAAAGTCAAAAATGGAAGGACAAGGAATTTAGTATAGGTGTGTGTGTGTGTGTGTGTGTGTGTGTGTGTGTGTGTGTATAAAATAGAGTCAAGTAATTAACACTGGTTAATTTGGAATCAGTCTTTGGGAAATTATCATTGCTGATGGTCCGGGAAGTATTCGGGTCTGAAGTCGTTGACTCTAATTTAGTGGTGACCTGGCCTTTGGGCCTTTAAAGCCTAGTTTCTGTACTCACCTATTCAGCGGTACCTGTCCAGTCTTAACTGTCTAGTGGTCGGTGTCTCTCAGTGCCAGATGCCGTCTGGCTACGTTAGTGGGTCTGGTTGTTTTTCTCTGAGGCCGGCGTTAAAACGATGAGAAGTCAGAATAACCCTGGAGTTGAATGAGCAGTAAAGGTAGTTGAGGCTACTTGTAAATGTAGAATCTAAGAGTTTATGTAGGATGAGTAAGATTCCAGTGAAACTCGTTGAAGCATAATATAAATTTGATTTTAATGTTGAGATGATTGATTTCAGTGAATTGTCAAATTTCAGTTTTATGAAGTGATGAGAGGTTCTGAAGAATATTTATTAATGCTTAAAAATAGCTAGGTTTGTATTTTTAAAATCTTGTGAAAGAAAAATGCCTTTAATTAATGCCAAAGTATTGGATGTTCTATGTTTTTAAAATTGGTTACCAGAAGAAAATGTTTTTAATACTTGTAAAAATCTCATCAATAACAGTACTACAAATCTACATTAAAAATCATATAAATCATATTAAGTATTTATTATTCTTTTATAGCCCAAGAGTGGGGAAGTAACTCCAAGCTGCCCGCTACTTTGTGAACTATTATATGAATCAGAATTTGACAGCCAACTGTGGATTATATTTGACCAGAACAAAAGACAGATGGGTTCAGGAGATGCCTATCCACATCAGGTATAAGATTGGCAGTGATTTTTGGAATTAACTGAGGCTTTCCCTGAACTAATGAATCTCTGATTTCTTATTTATGATAATTTTTGGTTTTGTGGGTTTAGGTTTGTTTTTTTTTTTAATGCTATAGTTTTGTATTTGGTTCTTTGACAACCACTGGAAGCTCAGTTAGTTGTTTTGACAGCCTCTCATTTATGTAAGTCAGCTAAATCAAGTTTTGGGATGGAGGAGTGCGTGGATGAAGCTTGCGAGCACTAGCCAGTATAGCCGCCTTTTTTTTTTTTTTTTAAAGATTTTTTTTTTTATTTATTCATTTGACAGATAGAGATCACAAGTAGGTAGAGAGACAGGCAGAGAGAGAGGAGGAAGCAGGCTCCCCGCTGAGCAGAGAGCCCGATGCGGGGCTCGATCCCAGGACCCTGGGATCATAACCTGAGCCGAAGGCAGAGGCTTTAACCCACTGAGCCACCCAGGCGCCCCACCGCTTTTTTTTTTTAAAGATTTATTTGAGGGGGTGAGCAGAGGGAGAGAGAAACTCAAGCAAACTAAGCACTGAGTTCAGAGCCCAACACAGGGCTCAGTCTTCTGACCCCGAGATCAGGTCCAAGCTGAAACCCAGAGTCAGGCGCTCACCGACAGCGCCACCCAGACACCCCTGGTGTAGCTTTTAATTTTAACTATTTCTTCTTCCTCCCCACTGCTTCCACCACATGAAGACTAAGAGCAAATCATCTAAGATGATATTAGCATCTTGAAATAATCCAGGGTCTGAACTGGATGCAAAGCATTGTATGGCAGTGCCAAGTGTTTATTAGTGTTTATTAGAACTTTCAAATTTATTTTTTCCTGAGACAGCTGTGTACTCAACACAGTGCTTGTCTGGCACTATTATATGAAAGGCAGAAAAACTTTGAATCACGTAGGTTTTTTGTTTGTTTGCTTTTAAGATTTATTTGAGAGGGAAAGTGAGTGAGTGAGAGAGAGATCACGAGCAGAGGGAGCAGAGGAAGAGGGAGAAGCAGGTTTGCCACTGAGCAGGGAGCCCATTGCAGGGCTTGATCCCAGGACCTTGGGATCCTGACGTGAGCCAAAGGCAGATACTCAACTGACTGAGCCACACAGGTGCCCCTTAATCATGCAGTTTATAGAAGTTTCATCCCTGATTAATACATTGTTACAAAGAAATGAGGTGTTTCCTGTAACATGTATAATTTTATGCCAAACAGTGAAAATAATTTGTGCAGGTTTTTTTCAGTTAACTGGTCAGGGAATGGTTTCCTTCAAGCCCCGTCACATCGCAGTACACACTGGGTCATTGCAGGGCCATGACTTTGTTGCTTTTAAAATCTCAGAGGAAACGGCATGCCGTGCTCCTGAGCAGGTTAGCTAGGAGGAGCTGAGTAGGTCTGTGCTCCTGCATCTCTGCCGGTTCCATTTTTCCCGTCTGTGATAAAGAGGTATGGCACTTTGGTTGTGACATAAAGATGACCGGTTGTGTATACACATGTGTATATATTTGTCTTAGGTGTTACATGGCACTTCAATTTTGCTAGTTTTGGTGGTGGTTTATTATTTTTTTTTTCAAAGATACTATTTATTTATTTGACAGAGAGAGACACAGAGAGGGGTAATATAAACAGGGGGAGTGGGAGCAGGAGGAGCAGGGAGCCCAGTGTGGGCCTCGATCCTAGAACCCTGGGATCATGACCTGAGCCGAAGGCAGATGCTTAATGACTGAAACACCTTGGGCACCCCTTTGGTGGTGGTTTTTACATGTTTCTGAAGACTCACGAACTAGAAGCACATTGCTTATCAGTCTTGAGCAGACACTGACTTAGCTGAGAGTATGGGAGTAGCCTGATGTGGGAAATTGAGGGCTCGGGAGCCATACCTGCCTTCAGCTCCTTTATCCTTTATTCTGCACGGGGCCTTGGACAGTTCAAGTGATGTTCCTGGACCTGCTTCCTCACCTGCACGTTCAGGCCCTTGTGTGTAGGTGTGTGCGTGTGTGAGTGCACAACACACTCTTCCTCACATAGTGTAAGTGCTCTGTACGTGGTAACTGTTCCTGTTTATCCTCTTACTATAATTTCTATTGACTTTTCTTTTTCCAAATGTTCTTTGTCTTTTTTAGTATTCTTTGAAACTGGAGAAAGGAGATTATACAATTCGACTACAGATTCGTCATGAGCAGATCAGTGATTTGGAACGTCTTAAAGATCTTCCATTCATTGTTTCTCATAGATTGTCTAATACCTTGAGCTTAGATATTCATGAAAATCATAGTCTTGCACTTCTAGGAAAGAAGAAATCAAGTAATTTGACATTACCACCCAAATATAACCAACCATTCTTTGTTACTTCCTTACCAGATGACAAGTAAGTGATAGTGTTGCTTACACTTAATGTGTATCTACTGTAATCTTTTCATGTGAGCTCATTACATTGAGCTAAGTTTATTTATGTTGTCACTTAACCATTTTAGAGTAATATTATTTCTCCCTTTGATTTTTGAAAACCAAGCTATGGGAATTATTTCAGAATGCAATTGTTTTGATGTTTTGCCCCTTGATTATCTTTCTGAGACTTTCTCTTTAGTTCCTTTTATTTCTCTTTTGAACTTTCTTATTAGAATACCTAAAGGGGCGGGACCTGGATGCTACCTTGCAGGATCCTTAACATTATCGAAGACTGAACTTGGAAAGAAAGCTGTAAGTGTCCTTTTTTCTTTAACACTGAAATTACCTATGCCAAAATTTCCATTCCTTTAAAAGATGGGAATTAATCCCACACTTAAACAACGCATAAAAGAGAAGCTCTTTCTGGGGGGAAAAAAAAATTGAGTAGATTTTTCCCAAAGGTCAATTAATATTTGATTGTATTTTAAAATATTTAGTATTTTTTTTTTCCAGGCCTAAGTACTTGGGCCCTGAACTGGTCATACCTTGCATGGCTAATAATATACTTGAGCTCCCTTCGAAACATGTAGGTCCAGATTAAACTTGGCTTAAACGAATGGGATGTTTGAAGTTACAACATTTTATGGAATTTTAACCAATATAATATTGTGGATATAAAAATAAGTCGGATCTTGGGTTACTTCTAGAAAACCAGTCAAAACATTTCTAATGAGCAGTATTTTTCTCACTTGTACAGACCTTTCTCTTAGTTGGAATTTTGCATAATTGTGTAGATAATTAGGAGATACTTCTTTTGGCATTGCCTTTTATTTTGTAGCTTTAAAATTACGCCATTAAAAACATGTTTCTTGTTGTTACATATTAGAGATAAACATTACAACTGGATAGGTAGTTATTTTAACTTTTCCATCTGTTTTCATTGCAAGTTTATTATGAGAATAGTGTTAATGTGGGTCTGTCACGTTCTGTCACACGCTAGCTCAATGCGGATAGAAGTTGTCGTTCTTACAGTTTTACATTTCTCCTTAGCATCAGATCTTCCATAGTGGTCTCCTACCTGATGTTGGAATCATAAATGCCCTTACCAAGATGGAATAGATTTCTTGCATCTTAACAAGTATACTTCTTGCCACTATTGAGCCAGAGGTCACTTACCGCTGTCTTAGAGGCGTAACTTAGGAATTCTGTGCTTTGGAAAAATGGTTTGCCCTGACATTTCTTGAGTGTCATTTCAGTCGATACTGCAGTTGACCCATGAATAACACGGGTTTGAACTGCGCTGTCAACTTATATGTGGGGTCTTCTTTCCAGTAGATACAGTAGCGTACTGTAAATACATTTTCTCTTCCTTGTGATTTTCTCAATAACATTTTCTCTAGCTTACTGTTAATCTACAAATATATATGAAATAATATGTTACTTGACTGTGTATGTATTGTTACGGCTTCCAGGCAACAGTAGGCTGTTTGTAGCTAAGTTTTGGGGGAGTCTGTACAAGGATTTTCAACTGGGTGGGACAGTAGTGTCCCCAGCCCCTGTGTTGTCTAGGGGTCAACTGTACTTATTTATAGATACACTTTAGTGTCATTTGAAGTTAGTCAGTAGTCAACGACACTGGAATTCATAGACGCAAGGATTTAAGAAGTCCTGGTCTTTTTTTGTAGGCCTTACTTCCTGGGCAGCAGGGCTGCTTCCAGCTGTGGGCTCCCTGGATGGGGAGATGGGGAGATGGGGTTCTCACCCAGATAACTCTTCTCAGGTGTCTACTTCTTTGTGACGGTTATGACAGAAAAGCATTGTCACTAAAAGTGCATTTTTAGCAAGTCAGAGGTAGTTACTACTTCCTACTGTTGTTACAGAGGCGTAAACTATACAAGAATGGGATTAACTGGAGTTGCTATTTACCAGGTGACTACTTACCGGGTAGATTTTCTTGAGAGAGAGCAAAACCTAAAGGCATAGAGTTTATTGCACTTGTCAGCACCTTGTTTGTTTAATCTTATCTCATACTGTGCGTTTCTCACCGGTTTGGTAGTTGGGAAGGTGAGTGTTGTTTCACTTCCTCTGCCTTTCATGGTCACCTTGAATACGATGATGCCTGGGCATGTATGATTGTTGTGACTTCCCTGAAATCAGACTCTGGACTGTCAGCTAAAATTTAGTGTTTTTAAAAGCTTTTTGATAACTAACAGATTTTGCTGTGCTCAATTTTTTAAATACAGAGTTGAAAACATTTGCCCTCAGGAATAACCTATTTGATTACATTTTTATTAAAATGAAAGTGGCAATGTCGCTTTCTTTAAAAGCCTGCCATTTTGATCGTAGACCTGACCCTTCTTACGGAGACAAATGCATGTGGGACATAAACTGGAAGACAATTAGACAGACGGTGTCTCCATCCCGTGTAGATTGTGCATGTTTTCTTACAGAATGTCCTTCTAACTCCCAGGGGCAGTCTGCAGCCAAACGACAAGGAAAATTTAAAAAGGTACTGATTGTCAGTTCTTGAAAAAGATGTCTTAAAGCCTTATTTGCATATTAGTTAAACTTTTTTTCTGTCACCTATTATAAATCTTTAAAAACATCTCTCCCTTAGTTTCCTTTCTTTAAGTTCTGCAGTATAGTGCTTTTAGCTTGTCGGTGTTGACGTACTGCTTTCCTGAAGTTTTTTTCCTGCCATAAACTGCTGGAAGGACCCCTGTTTTACGTGTGTCTAGAAAAAAAATTTAATGCTATTCATTTCTTAGCTACAGATATGCCAAATAGTAATATTTGAAATTTTACATATCTAAAATCCTACGGAGAAATTAATGTAATTTTTTTTTAACTATATAAGCCAAAACCATTCTTTTTAAAGTCCAAAAACATTTTTTTTTGAAGATTTTTATTTATTTATTTGGCAGAGAGAGAGAGGGGGAAGCAGGCTCCCTGCTGAGCAGAGCACCCAATGCAGGGCTCGATCCCAGGACCCTGAGATCATTACCTGAGCCAAAGGCAGAGGCTTAACCCACTGAGCACCCAGGCGCCCCAAAAACATTCTTAAATTGGATGATTTGATTATTAAAATACTATGAAGGAATTTGAAAAAAAGTTTCTTCCTTGCTCTTGCGTCATCATGCTGGAGGAGCAGAGACAGAGCAGTGGGTGGTGGGAACAGAAATAAGGACTTTCCACCCCAGGTTAAAATTGACTCTAAGACTACGAACAGGCTTAAGACCATAATTTCCCTACAACTTATTAGACAATCTCTGATTGACTGAGAGAGCCAAATTTCACTCAAAACAAAAGCAGAATTCTATTTCTTAGGTACTTAGTGGAAGGGATATTGTATATATCCCTTATATATACATACTCAGCTGTCCGGCATCATTCAGCATGTTACCGATTTCTCCTGTTCAGACGAGAAGCATTGTTAAGATTTTGTGTTTTAAGGTATAAATAAAAGATAGCTCTTTCTTAATTCGCAGTGATGTGAAACTAGGGATCACCATTTTAGAACAGATGGAATGCCTTTATTAAAGAGAACTTCTGTAATGTCTGTATTGTTATGTAATGGTAAACACTTTATTCAAACAAAATGCCCCACTGGGAATCATCTTTCCAGTTAAAGGAATATCTGCTTCACTGTGGGCTGAACATTGTGGCCTGTTTCTGGGCCATGTACATTCATTTAATGAAATATAACCAGCTTTAACATGAAAACAAAATAAAGTAGTAAATGTCATTCATCAGACTCATAAAACAAATTTCTTTTTATTTATAGATTGTTTATCTTTGGGTCATCCTGAAAATAGCTTGAAAGCCACTGCTTTAGAAAATGAAGAAAAGGTTTTCTAGGAGCCCATTAAAAATAGAAGGTGCTTATCACAAAAGCATAGCTGGGGTTTTTTCTTCCTATTGTATATTTTGGGGTTGATCTTTTGGGGAGTTTTGGTGGATTTTGTTTGGATCAGGTTGTATAAGATAGGAGACTATTAAGTGAATAAGAAAGTTATTATTTGATGGTTAGGAAAGCTTTATATATAACAAACTTGCACAACTAGAGTTACCTCTTCTCAGTTCTCCTGGTCTTACAGTCTCATTACCAAAAAGATCTATATATTAATTTATTGCCAGAACAAAATACCAACCAGCTTTTGGTGCATAATCCTCAATGGGTTTGTCCTTTGGGTCTCAGTGACTTTTCATTTGGAAAATGCAGGTTACCTTTTTTAAGTGGATTTTCATATGAAAGAATATAGTTACTTTTAACAGATGATAAATAGCATTCCAGTATGATTTTGATCTTTAAAATAGCTGTTTTAGTTTGTATAAAGATATTAAAGTTTTGAATTTAGTTAATAATTTTAGAACTAAGGAAATTATAATTTTTGAACCAAAATTTAAATGGCAGTATGTTATCCAAAGAACAATTATGAGTTTTGCAGGTAGATTTGACTTTCAAGGATATTGTTCAGACACTGTCAAAATACTTGGTGAATAGCGGAAATAATATGTTTTTTAGAAAAACTTACTGTTAAGTATCTACTATAGAGAACTTCAGCATTTCTGATCCGAAGATTGCTCTTGACTCGCTTTTTAAATCGTAATCAAGGTTGCTCAAGACTTAATGGTACAAAATGATTTCCATTAAATTAACCCGATACTAAGTCCTTGAGAAGCGAGTTGAAAAAATACTGACCAAAAAAACAGGCGGACATGATAAAACAAAAAAAACCTCCATTTTTCTTTTGATTAGGAGTTAAAATTACCATGTTTGTAATTTTGAATAGTAGTAAGGTTACTGTCCTCACATATTTTTAGGATTATAGTAACACTTATAATTGCTAATTTGAGGTACTTAATATATAAAATGCTGATCACAAAACCTTGATTTCCACCCCTAAGATCATTCATCACAAACTCTCCCTGTCTCTTATGCTTTTAATTTTTAGTGATAGTTTATGATTATCATGGTACAGGTTTTCTTTCTGTATATAGGTCTTTCTTAGAGTTTATTGTTAATCATAAATTAAGTTTAATGGATTGCTTATTTTAAATTCAGTTCTGTTTTCTCTCTTCTGTACTCAAACATAATAGCAAATGCCTTACCTTTGAGCTTCAGAAGAGGCATTGCCTCACAACAGAGACTTCCTTCCCATCCTGAAAGTTGCCTCTCTCCCTAATCAGTCAAGGAGGCGAGGGAACTAAGGGAGGTTCACGTTAGGTTAGAATCAGCATGGACTGTGGGGATTCCTCCTCCAGGCAGGTGGCATCCTTACGCAAGTACAGTGGAAGTACGGGACTGTGTGAACAGAGGGTAAATGTTGGGGGCTGTCTCTGCTCCTCGAATTCTTCAGTATATTATCTTTGCTGCACAGATGATACTGAAACGATCTGTTCCCGTAAGAGCTTCGTGGTTCTTTAGCAACTCTGATTTTGCAGACGCTTTTCACCCCAGCAGTGCCCACCTAGAGAAGTGAACTCAAGAGGAAGGAAGACGGATGGGTAGCAGGGTCCTAAGGAGCTTTTCCAAGCAGAACCCTACTGCTTTTGCCCCGTCCCATGCTGCACATGCGACCTTGGCTTGCAGGCGCCCTGGCTCCTGGCCTCAGACAGAGCATGGTGCTGAGATGGCTCAAAGTGGGTTTGTGTGGTTCTGTCACATGAGAGGTTTTATGGGCGCTTTACCTGCGTCATACTGAAGGAACAGTTACTGTTTGATGGTGGAATGTTAGAACTACTGCATCAGTGGTTCCTTATATTTGCTATTGTAATTATACCCCAAAATAAAATATAGTTGTGAAAATTGTTAACATGGGCATATGCACATTGTATTTACACCTAAAAATCCTGTTTAGGGCAAGGTGGGGCTTGCAATATTATTTTTTTGTCTCCACCTGTATAAAGTTTTTTTCTGAAATTACTATGATTAGAAAAATAAAAGTTTTGGTAACATATCTTTCCCCAATTCTAGAAATGTTAATTTAAACAAAAAAAAGGTTTTAATTAAGCATTTTTAATATAAACTTGAAGCTAGAATTGGTAAATTGACTTTGTCTTTTAATTAAGGGCGGCTGGTTATTGTGCCAGAACCAGAGCTAGCCAGTCTGATACAGGATTTCCTCTCCCAGACACTGCCTTAGTTTTTGCAAGTGGAGACTTACGTGCTTTAATAGAATAGATCAAAATAGACGTAATTAGGTATAAATACACATTTCTCTGCCCTTTTCAAAGCAGAACTTCTCAAAGGTGCTATCTATGCTGCTTTACTTCCTGTTCTCCGTGCCTCTCTTTCTCGGGCGGCCCTCACCCCCACTGTCCACAGAGACTGCACGTCTCTCGTCGGGGGGACCAGCCACTGCTGCACAGTTCTGCGACCGTGTCCTCCTGCCCCTGGCACCACCTCCGCTGTTGTCACTGGTTGATCACTCCTCTTTCGCCCTGCTGGCTTGTCCAAGGAGCCCCTCTGGTGTCCGTCTCCTTCACTCCCCAGCATTCTCTGAGACTGCGGAATGCTTTGGCTCAAAGCCTGGGCTTCCTCCTCCCCTCCCCCGTCCTGCCTGGTTTCATTTGTCCCCTCGTTTTAAACATCATCAGCAGGCAGTGTCGACTCTGCCTTCATGGATTTCTAGATCCATCCATCTCCTCCTCTTGTACAGCCTGTTCTTAAGTCAGAGCAGTGTTGGGAATCCAGGCTCACTTCCTCACTTGTCTTCCTCCTCCTCGCCTTCTGCCCTCTACCGTCCATTCTCCAAATTGTAGGAAGAATTATTAAAAACAAACCAACATTGTTCATCCATATGGGATGCAGAGTCATGAAACAAAAAGCAGAAATCTTGAATCATGTTCACTGCCTTGCCTACAACTCCCCTGCATTTAGAATAAAATCTGTATTTTGGTCCGATGTTCTCAGCCCCGCCCCCTGTGGTTGCTGCCAACGTGCCCAGTGCGTCCAGACGCGCTTGCCGGGTACTCAAGCGCAGGGCTTTGCATGTGCCCATCTGCCTCTTCACACGCTTCCTCTCCTCAGTTTGGTTAATTAAGGCCGCGGATGCTCATTCACTTAGGTCGTGGAGGTTCACTTAGGTCGCCTATTCCCTGTTCTGCGGGAATTCCCAGCACCCCTTTGTCCGCATTGTTCCCCACCTCAGTAGCCACCCTCTGTCCCTGCATTCCGTTCTGCTTCCTGCACATCCCGCGGTGTCTTCTGAGACCCTGCACTACCTGGATGTTGTCTGTCTTCCCCCACTAGGACATGTTCCCCGGGGGCAAGAGAGGGCCTTGTCTGCTTGGCTCTCTTCACCTCTTAGAGCATTACCTGGCATGTCTCAGGCGCTCAGAATTGAATTGAATTGATTGAATGAAGAAATTTCCCTTTAAATTTATATAGAAAAGAGGATCTTTTTTAAAATTCTAAGTTATTTCCTTCCTTTCTCAAGTAGAACAAGTGAAAGCTTGGTAGTAGTCTTTGGTAGGTAGTACTTTCTGTAATCCAGTGTGGCAAGTAAAGCTAAGAATACTGCATACACTCACGGAGGAAAGTCTGTTCTTACCTCCACTATTTTATTTTTTTAAGATTTTATTTTTAAGTAATCTCTACACCCAGTGTGGGGCTGGAACTCACAACTCCCAGATCAGGAGTCACACACTCCACTGACTGAGCCAGCCAGATGCCGCTTACATAAATCTTTATTTTGAAGAGGATTTAAAAGCATCAGTACTTTAAAGTTTGGGAGAAAATTCCTTTGATCACAGATTGGGATTTTTCATGTGTTGTAGCCCTTAGGATCTGGAATATGATGTAGCACAACTCAGGGCAGCCTGTGTTCTGAGATACTCAGTAATGAAGATGATTTTAAAATATGTAAAATTAAGCGTGTTAATCTGAGACTCTCTCCACATTCATAGGATGTGATCCCTGTTCATTACTACCTAATACCTCCACCAACAAAGACTAAGAACGGCAACAAAGACAAAGAAAAAGATTCAGAAAAGGAGAAAGATTTAAAAGAAGAGTTTACTGAAGCGTTACGAGATCTTAAAATTCAGTGGATGACAAAGTAAGTTTTAGTAGATTTTCGGCCTCTATTTACTTTTATTTTCCCAGTTAAAGCAGTGTGGTGTGTATGTGCATGGACTGTATTCAGAATGTTAACAGTGGGTGGTAGGGTTACAGGGGTTTTTATTTTAACCACTTAATTCTGATTTGCTCTTGGAAGAGAATTTTACTAGAAAGCATAAAGAAAAAAATAAAAATCACCTTTTTGCCTACTCTCCAGAGGTAATCATTGTCCTATGATTATTTCTCTGTAGTTATGCATGTAGCAGTGTGAATGATGTTGTGTCCTAGTTTTCCAATTACTATGTGATTTTTGGCATTTAATAGTTCTTATAATTAGGTCATTTAATAGTCCTTTAAAATACCATTTTAATGACTATGTGGTTTGCCGTCCTGTTAAGGAAATGTAACGCGCTTAAATACTCTATTTGACATTCACGTTTATATCTTTTCTCTGTGGTGCTGTGATGGACATTTTTACACATGTAGTTTCTTTAAATATCCATCAGATCACATCTTAAAAGTATAATTATTGAGAATCAGTATTATTAACACTTAAAAATTGCCTTGCTATGTTTTGACATATTGCCTTCTAGAGGGAATATCACAATTTCTACTCCCTCCAGTGGTGTATGGCAGAGCCTGTGACGCCGTGGAATTGGAAACGAGGCCTTGCTGATAGATGGCGAAAAAAGAAAAAGCCATTATCGTGGTCTTAAGTTGCATTTCTTAAGTTACGAAATTTGAGGCTTTTAAAAACTGTCACCACATTCTTGTCAGCTGAACATGTCCTGTATTTTCTATTGGGACATCAGATTTTTCATTTAACTTTTTAACATAAAAGATATTAATGCTTTGCTGTACTTGTACACATTTTCCCTCAGCTTATTTTTTGACTTTTAGCTTACTTTTTACATGGTAGAAATTTATTCTCTGTAGTCATAGGGGTTGCTTTTTCCATTTGTGTTACACGGTATTTCTGTCACCACCGCGTTCCTATGGGAGTCCTCGTCAGCTGAACGGGTGCGTCCTTGCAGTCCTTAGCTGTTCTAGACTAGAACAGACGTCATTGTGTCATGAAAATAATTCCCAGGGATTGAGCAGTTCCAGGGTCCTTCTACATTCAGGCTGACCTTTGCACTTAAAACTAGGCTGTATCTCCACCAGAATCCAGAGTCTGTAAGTCAGTCTCTGATCGATGGTAGGGTGTCGTAAACAGCTGAAAATACAGTGTAAATCCTTCAAAGGCGAAATGGCAGAGGTTGACTTCTAGCACGGCAGCGTGAGGAGTCCCAGGGGCCCACTTCTCTGGAAACTAGTGAAAATCTTTTTTTTTTTTTTTTTTTTTTTAATCAGCCTTTTAAAACCTCCGGAGTTGATGTAAGGGCATACAGCAAAAGATGAAGAAACATCTGTTCAGGAACATCTGTAGTTCAGGGAGAAAAGTGGGAGTCTGTGGTACTTGAGCCCAGGCCGCTCCCTGCTTCCCCACTGCAGCTCAGGGACCAGGCCGCTTGCGGCCGGAACACGGGGCGCCCCTCGGTTCCTGGCCAGAGGACTCTCTTCCAGGGACGAGCTGCCGTGCATGTGGGAGCCTCACGCTGAGACCTCTGGAGTGATGCGCGGAGGTTTGGGGTTGAGGGGAGCAGAGGGCCTGCCTTGGGTATGGCACTGCTGAGACCACTAGGGCCCCTGTCACCCTAGCCCAGGAAGTGGTGGTTTCAGGGCAGGCAAGGGAGGCCTGGAAGAGCCTGGGCTACTGCTCCCCTCACCCATGTCGTCAGCTTAATCAGCTTCCCCATTCAGGAACATGGAATGTCTCTTCCTTCATCTGAAACTTCAGATTTTTCAGAAAAGGATACCTTTTTCTTAAAAATTATAGACATTTCTAGAGCTTTTCATCTTTCTTGCTATTTGATTGTTTTTTCCTCCTCTTTATACATTTATACCTGGCATATATGAAAACTTGATGCTTCCAGTTTGATTTTTTTTTCCTAGGTTAAGCATATTTATATTACTTGCAAATAATGATAATCCTTGTCAGTAAAGAGACTTGTATTTCAGACTGATGCTTTATGTTATGGGCTGGAACTTCAAAGCAATGTTAAATAATAGGGAAGACGGAAATTGTTTTCTTTCTAACAGAAACGAAATATAACATTTCTCTCTTTCTTACATACATAGGCTGGATTCTAGTGACATTTATAATGAATTGAAAGAAACGTATCCTAATTATCTTCCTCTGTATGTTGCAAGACTTCATCAGTTGGACGCTGAAAAGGTGGGACATGTTCATTCTTAATATTTGAGTATTTCGTTTTGTTTGTAACATTAGATAAAGTTTATACATTGAATAAAAGTGCGACCTTATATTTGTCTTGTGTCCTTGCCAAACGCAAACATTCTGTCAAACTGAATGTTCTGTTAGCTATTCTCATTAAGGTAAATATAGAACTTAGCTATTACCATGAGTTCAGCTTAGAATTCCCGCTCCTATTTTTGGTCAGTGGGAGGAGTAGCAGGGAAGATATACCCAGGGTTGCTTTTCTGACATTCACCTCAGGGCAGGGGTCCTGGCCTGCAGCAGGTGTAAACACCTGCCGCAGAGGAACAACTCCTACTTTGCATTAACTTTGTTACTGATGCTAATTTTCAAGAATTGGCCATCATTCCAAACTGTCTTAACAGCTCTCATTAGTAATGTTGGCCAGTAAGGAAGCGCAAGCCATAAACAATTAGAAATGATCCGGGTTTCAGAGTGAACTTGAAGGTTGAAAGGAAACCTCCAAGACTCACGAGGGGAGCATCGCAAGCACCGCGGTGATCGTAGTTAGACTCCGCTGGGTCTATTCTTGTCTGCTCCCATCTTTGTGGTTTTAATAATAAACTAGGGAGAATGTTCATCTGCAGGTGCTTTTTTCCCTCCTGTTTTCATGTGGCGTGTGACTGGAGTAATCTAGCCAGTCGGGTTTCTAAGATGCCCAGAAAAGGAGTTGCCTTGGTAGAAAACACTGCATTTCTGGGAACCTTTATCTGGCTTACCCTCACCATCTAGTATCAATGGGGAATGTGTCTTGGCTATTTTCCCATCAGAGTTCAGGTTTTCTGGTGATGCTGATGTTGTGGCCGTCACAGTAGGGGCAGCACAGAGCACCCTGGGCTGCGAGCAGACTGCCCTGCCCCCTCTGCTGGGTTGTGACTGTCATGGTTGGGATGACAGAAATGAAGGTACTTTGGTGTACTCATTGATACATCCATTTCTTTTCTTTCTTTTTTTTTTAAGATTGTATTTATTTATTTGACAGAGAGAGACACAGCGAGAGAGGGAACACAAGCAGGGGAAGTGGGAGAGGGAGAAGCAGGCTTCCAGCTGAGCAGAGAGCCCGATGCGGGGCTCAATCCTAGGACCCCGGGATCACAACTTGAGCCAAAGGCAGACGCTTAACGACAGTCACCCAGGCGCCCCGAAACATCCATTTCTTATTTCTTCTTTTTTTCCTCCCTAGGAGCGGATGAAAAGACTTAATGAAATTGTTGAAGCTGCAGATGCTGTTATTTCTCATATAGACCAAACGGCCCTAGCGGTTTATATGGCCATGAAGACTGACCCCAGGCCCGATGCAGCTACTATAAAAAAGTACCTAACCAGTAAATAATCTTTCTTGCATCTCATTCTTAGTTACTTTTTAAAATTAATGAGAATATTCTTCTATTCCGGCTTGTTCTGTCCCGGGAGTTATCAGTATTTGGATGTTCCACCCTTAGATATTTCATGATAGTTTTCTTAGTTGTTTGAGATGAAGCAGAAGAGAAGAAGCTTGCTTTCTCGGCCGCCAGGTCCATTGTGTGGAGAGACTTGAGTAGCTGTGATCAAACAGTCCCACCCCTTGGGGATTTGTGGGAGCTGGACGTACGGAGAAGGCAAAAAAGATTAATTTCTCAATTGTTCATTGACCAATAGCATGAAAAGCCCAGATTTAGTTTGTAAGGTCCGGCAACACAAATAGAAATAAAGTCAGGTTGAAACCGTCACCTAGCACCTTGAGTTAGGAACCGGTGTCACGGTATTGCGGGGATGAGGGGAAGGGGGTTGTGGTTGAGCTTTAAGAAACGCAGCGCAGACGTGGAGCAGAGCGGTGTTGCTGGGCACAGGTGGGCGAGCCTGTGGCTCCGCACGTAGTGTGACAGTCCCTCAGCCACCGGAGCCTCCGCCTTCCTTGAATTCTCAGGACCGTATCGCGGGAGCGCTCCCGAGAGCAGCTTTCCCTCCTGCCCCTGGTTTATTTTCACTCAGAGGCCTTCACCTTCGAGGGTAGAAACATCACGTCCTCTTGGAGCTGCTACAGCCATTCCCTCGGCCTCAGTCAGGTGCTGCTCTGTGGAGTCCTTGATTCTGAGCCGCTGAAGCTCCAGGTGTCGTGTTGCTCGTCCTAGCACCGCAGCTCTTGGGAATCTGCAAGTAGTAGTTTTCCAGCAGAATGAAATTATTCAGATTGGCTTGTTGGCATGACCTGCACCCTCCCCCACCCTCTGAGGGAATCATTCAAACGTGGCTGTTTTGTTGTTGTCCACTTCTGACACGCCAGTTACGTGCAAGGAATTATTTGGGATATTTTGAGTATATTATCTCATTTAAACTGAACCTTCTATATAACGTGCCAAGTAGGGGGGGCATTTTTACCCGCTGGCTGCTGAAGAGCAAACAGGAGAGCCGGATTCAGGCCGGGTCTGTCCCAGCTGGGGCTTTCCTTTCTTGTAAGCAGCCCCTTGCGTTCCAGCCCATCTTGAGAGGATTCCCCTGCCTCATTTCTTTCTCATAGACAAATAGGGCATCCGCTCCGCCTTGCCCGTCGTCGTGCTGTCCTTCGTGTCAGAGGGGGCAGAGACCCCTCTCCGAGGCCAACCTCTATCTCAGCCTGAGTCTTCCTCTCCATGGCTGCCCTCCGCTGACAAGCCCCTTTCTCCCGGTCTTCAAGGTCTACGCCTCAACCCACAGTCATTTTCATCCCATCTCCTGTCCCCGGGGGGCCCCTGGTTTCTCGCTGGACCAGTCTACACCGCTCTTCCTTCCTGAATTCCATTCCGTGTTAATCCCGTTGCAGGAGGAGGAGTCCGGGCTTGATCGCCCATGAGAAACTCATGCCGGAAACTGTGGCCTTTCTGAGGCTGCCTTGACCTCACGGCGGCCTCTGCTAGTAGCTGCCGCATCCCTTCTAGCTCTCTTATTTCTTAGTTTGTGAAATTAGTATCCTCTCTTCAGACTCCCCTGTCTAGGAAGTAACATTAGAAATGTCGGTAAATGTGAAGGTCCGTCTAGCCCTGCTGGTATTCTGGCTTGTCTTTCCTAAGTCTTCTAGCCTCAGAGGAGGTTCTTAATTCCGGGTTAAAGTGAGCCGCAGACCACGACGAGCTGTGTTGTCAATCTTACTAGTCCCCTTTTCCCTCACAGTTCTTCTCCCAAACCCTGACTCCAGTGGCTGTCGAAAAATAACAGTAACATAGGGTCCTGGCTTTAAAGATTATGGCTGCAGAGACGGTCAGAGACGCTGGGATAAAGCTAGAAAGGGGCTGTGGAACACGTGAGAATGCCGAGAGAAGCTACTTCGGCTTGGGCCGCACTGGAGCGGTTTGTCTGCACTTACAGTGACGGTGTTTGCCGCGGGCCTGCCTTTGGCCCAGCCGGCGTGGGCTCGGCTGTCTGTGCTGGGCAGAAGGCCCCGTGCAGGCCTGGAGCTGCTGTGCTGGGGCGAGGTGTTCTCGGGGGCCTGGCGTTCGCTGGAGGCGGCGTCCGCTGACCAGGAGCAGCCATGGAGCGTCTGTTTCTCGCTTCCGTGCAAAGCTGCTTTTCCTCTAGTCGCTCGTGCATCAGAAGTTCTGACGGCCGCTTTGTACTCTCAAATGTGATAGTAGCTTTTGTACGTGATCTAGTATCGAGTTTCCGTTAAACTGAACTGCAGTTTATTTAGGCCATTAAAGTATCTGATTGAGGCTCTTCCTAAAATACAGCTATTACCACTTTGATCAGTACCTCTAACTAGATTTGATTCGGATGTTTACTGAGCAAACACTGTAGGTAAAGCATCACTGAGAGGATGAAAAAAATGGAACAGGACACGGTCTGCTCTTGGGAAGCGCGTGCTCTGATGCGGAAGGTGAAGGTGCTGGCTGGGATGTGATGAAGAGTTACGATAAATATTTTAAATTGTGAAAGCCTGTAGGAAGAGCTGATTTCATTTGACTGGGAGAGCCTCGTGGATTGGTAAAATATTTGATCTGAGCTGATCCGTTCTGAGTTAGATGAGGGTAGGGAAGGAATATTCCAGATATGTGGAATGTAGGTTATTGGATCCGAGAACTGGGTTCCGGGGTTTGGCAGGTAGTTGGATGGAGGACTGGCACGAACAGCACGCTTATGTCACCCTCTAAGTTCTGTGCCCGGCCGGCCCTTCTCCGGGCAGCTCGGACCAGTCAGCTGCGGTGACTGATCGCGCCTGCCTTGCCAGGCCACTTCTGTTCCAAGGCCCCGCCGTCTTCCTCACAGAATGGGGACAATAAAATTGTGTCCAGCTCCTCGGGTTTATGCTGTAATGTGTAAGTTAAGTACTGCTAAGACATTTCAGAAGGTGGCTGGCGTCTAAAAGGTGGGGTGGGGTGGGGTGGGAGAGTGCTCAGTAAATGAGAAGCTGTGCACATGTCCTTCAACTCAGAAATTCTTTTGTTCCTGAGTCCAAAGTAACCAAGCAGTTCCCTGACACGTTTCCCCCAAAAGAGAATGAAATTGGTTCTTTCAAGCTTTGAAACTCTTTGCTGAAAATCTCACGCCTCTTTTTTGGCCTAAATTTATCTACGTTGCAAACGTATTAAGGTGGGTAATTTTGTTGGGTTGTAACAAGTTGTTGTTTTCTCATTTTCATTATCTTTTGTACAAATTGTTGGTTTTGTAGCGCCAGCAGATTTCATGTGTGCATTTTCCAGTCCCGAGTCCTTCAGAGTCATTCGTACCGTTAGTCCGTTCACCCGTGTCCGAGTGCCCGTGGCACCTTCTCCGCACTTGTAATCCGCATTGTCTCCACACGTGTGGGACATGAGTTGGACAAAATGCCTCAGATAAGCAAGTGTCCTAACGAGTAACACTGTCCCTTGGAGGCAGGTTGTGACTGCGTTTCATTCAGCAGTGAGGTCCTGAGCGTCTGTCCCGTGCCAGGCATTTGTCTGGGCACTTGGGATACATCAGAACACAGATTCCTGCCCTGTTGCAAGGCGGTTTTTCCATAGCGATTAAGAGCAGGGATTCTAGAAGCAGACTCTACCTGGATCTGCTGCTTCCTGACCGTTGGACCTCGGACAAATCTGTGTGTGCCTCAACTTCCTCCTTTGCAAATGGCGATGATTAATAGTATCTTACTCAGAACTGTCTTGACTGTAAATGAGTTGATATGTAAAAGTGCTAGAGCAGTTTCTCGCACGGAGGAAGCATCTTACAGTGTTTGCTCTGTTTGTAAGTGAAAGTTACATTCACTGCTGAAAGACCTTGTCTACATCGGTGCGTAAATGTGTGATGATTGCTCTTTATGAGAAATCTAAGTACTTTCTAAAAGACGCTGTTCTGAGGAAGAGGTACTTAGCTGACGGAATTGAGAGCTGAACACACTTTCCCTTCTTTTGCTTTATGGCATTCTGTTCCAGCCACATACGGCTGTCCTAACGCATTTAATCTGTATGTGTGAGGTAGTGGCTCATTTGGTGTTTGTTACAAATAAGGAATCTTATTTGATGTACGATAATATTTCTGCATTGTAAATCTGAGGCAAAGAATGCATGAGTTTGTTAGTTTCAGACAAGTCTACTTCTTAAGGAATTTTACCGATCTGGGTGTTGCTTTTTGATTTGGCGCACAGTGACATGGACAAACAGAAGTCTACCCTCGTGGACGCTCTTTGTAGAAAAGGATGCGCCCTCGCCGACCACCTTCTTCATGCCCAAGATCAAGATGGGGCTGTTTCAAGCGATACCGAAGGAAGAGAGGAGGAAAGAGAAAATACTCTGGATTCTGTGATGGAAACTTTTTGGGAAACTACAAAATGGACTGATCTTTTTGACAATAAGGTAATCTTTGTGCTTCTTGCTCTGGCACAGTTCTTGGGGGTTACTTCACAAACCTCCTTTGTGCCCCATTGCCTGCTCTTTACTGTTTCCCAGCTCCCTGGCCAGAAGAGGAAGAAAATATATGGAGTGTGGCTAAGCTGGGCTCTGAAGAAGACATTGTGTTTAGTGAGATCTCCTTTGTCTTACCTGTTTTAGAACCATTTTACTATCATTTTCTCTGTCTGCACAGTGGCTCTTTAGCCAAACTAATTTGGAAAACAGTTTGAGAATGTGTGTAGTGGCCTTTTGGTTAAGCCGGTTATGTATGAAGCTAGAATTAAGAACATCTAGAAATTGCGTTTATGCCTTCCCATATCTGTTTATGTACTGATTTGTTGGGGGAGAGGGGGGCATTCTGGTTACTTTAGATGTTATTTTTCTCAGAGCTCTTTGACTTTTAAATAATTATCATTTGGATTTGTAGCTCATCAGTTTTCAGACTCAGTTTAGAAAAGGGAACATTGACGAACTTTTTGGATTTGGGTTATATAAAAATGTCAAATCTCTTTTAGCTCTCTACTATAATTCTTACAGTAGGGATTATGTAAGTACAAGTTTTTGTCAATCTTCCTTTCTTCTGAAGATAAAGAAAATAGAATTCTCCTAACCCAGCATAAGCGATTAGTTTTGTCTTACAGACAGATGCTTGTTTTCTAGATGAACTACGATAATTTGTAGTAAAGACCTCTGAGAAGCGAAAAAAGGTTTCCTGTATGCTTGAGGTTTTCCCACTGCAGTGTAGTCATGCTCATGCTGAAGAAAGTGAGTTAGGGTCAGATTCCGCTTATACGATATAATTTTTTAATTTTAATTTTTTTTTTTTTTTTACTTTATCCCCCTTTGCAGTTTTGGTAATTTATAATGACTCTTTATAGTTTTGTACTTCTATCCTTATTTACATTTTTATGATCACTTATGTTAGCTCTCCTTTGCATAAAGAGGTGTTTGGTATAGAATCCAAGAGCTAGTGATTTATCACACTTTAATTTTCCCCCCACAGATAGGCTGATTGGTGCAATATTCAGCTTTTGTTCTTTCAAGACATCTTTAAAATTTGCTTGAAGTAAAATGTTTATTTTAAAAGCTGCACTTCTATTACGGCCTTAATTTTTTCATTATTAAAGCTATAAACCATAAAATGTAAATATTTCATAGATAAGCCTTATCTTGTTTTACATTATAGGTTTTAACATTTGCATACAAGCATGCATTAGTACATAAATTGTATGGGAGAAGCCTTAAATTTGCAACTAAACTTGTGGAAGAAAAACCAACAAAAGAAAACTGGAAAAATTGTATTCAAGTAAGTGGTATTAAATTTTCACTGTTACATGTCACCTCGGTATCACGTAGTGATCAGATAGCTAAAAGCCTTATTGTAGTGACTTAGCGATCCTGACTTTTCAATGACTGATTCCTCTTCTCATTCATGTAATGCGAATTATCAAATAAAAGCATGAGAGACAACCAGTAAGCTCCTTACATTTTTTAAACTTTTCTTATTATTAAATTTTTAAAATTCCTGTCCAGAGAGCCTCAACTTAGCCTCAAATGTTTTCGACATAGGCAAAAAGTACATTAGGAAGTTTTAGAATTACAGTCAGAAGGCTGAGTTTTCTTTCTGAAGGAGACAGAAATCATTCCTTTCAAATACATGTTGGCTCAATTCTAAAATGTTTGAACTTTTAGAGTTTATATTTGATTTTATTCTTCATTTGAAATGATAGGCCATTTTGTGATTTTTACACCATCCCTTATTACATGCAGAGAAATTCTGTGGTTGATGTTAGAAACACTAGATAAGAAATTCTGGTCTCTCTGTACAAGTTAATTGTCAAGTATAAAAATTTAATGAAGCCACAGAAATCATCGTAGCCTCATCTTGTCTCTGGACGCGCATAGTTTGTGCCTAAAGGGCATATGACCTTGGGTGTGCAGCTCGGTCATGCCACATGTGGCCAAGGTCTGGTCTCTGTATTTAAGGTTATTCTTTGGATGTAAAAGTAAACAGTAAATTCCTGGGGAAATATTTTCCAATTAGAGTAAACTCTAGGTTATCTTCCCTCTTAGACCTTTCCTGTGTACCTGCACCGGTCCGTTCAGATTGTAAGACATTTTAAATTAGCGTCTTCAGATCTTTGAAAAGGTTAAGAGAACTCTTTCTGGAACTAATTGTTAATGTGTATAGTGTGATTCTCATCATGTCGACTGTGATCTGTGAACTCTTACATTGGTAAAACCAGTGATTGCCCCAGATGTTCCTATCAGGGGGTTTTGTAATTTGTGTCCCCTCCACTCTGTTCCTGTCCTGTCTGTTCTTCACACCACAGCTGGAAAAGAGGGCTTGAAGACACCTCCTGGTGAAGCCCCATCACATTAAGTCTGGATTAAAATCCAGACTCCTTCCTTGGCCCATAAGGCCCCACAGGATCTGGCTCCTGCGTTTCTACCCAGCTGCATCCCTTGTCACACTTCCCAGACTGACTCTGCTTCCCTCACACGTGCCGCCTCTGCTCGGCTGAAACAGCCACCGTGCCCCTTCCTGCCCTTTTCTGCCAGGAACCTAACTAGTCCAGCTGTATGGAGAGCTCGTCCCGTCCCCAATTTTCATAGAAGGTTTCTTCTTTTCCAAATTACCCCATAAATATCACCTCTCCGGAGAGCCTGTTCTTGACCATCTCATTTCCTAATGGCTCTGGTGTCTCATCAGGTTTTATTCTTATTGTATACTTGATGTATACAGCTTAATTACATACTCATTTGTTCATCTGTTCATTGATTAGCTTATTTCTTCTTTGGTTCCCCTGAATAGAACACAACTGTCCTGCAAGTGGGAAGTGAGTTTGTTCAATGCTGTTTTCCCGATGTCTGGAAGTGTTTGGCTTCCAGTCAGAAAGAACAAAAGAAAGAAAAGAAAGAAAGAAAAAGAGAAAGAAAGGCAACTGGTTTGATAGGAAGAAAGGGAGCAAGTTAGGCAGAAGGAAGAAAGAAAGGAAAACAGAAAGGTTGGTAGAAAGACAGGAGAGAAGGAAGGTTGGCCGGAATGGTCATAATCGCATGTAGAGGTTGGTTGGTAGGAAAGTGGGTAGGTTAGTTGATGGTAAGGAAGATCAGGTGGTAGGAAGTGTGGTTGGTGGGTGGGTTGGATGGAAGGAAAGTTTTGCATGCTACCACTTTATTATTCTTAAATGCAGAATTTACCCTGAATATTGAGCTTAAAAAATCTGTTCTTTAATAATACGTTTTTGTGTTTCGTTATAGCTGATGAAGTTGCTTGGATGGACCCATTGTGCGTCTTTTACTGAAAACTGGCTCCCCATCATGTATCCTCCTGATTATTGTGTATTCTAAAATAGGAACCAAGACTTTAAATTTTAAAAAAGAAAGTTTTATAGTGAATGGATATAAAAACAAATTTGTGGCATTTTTAGTCTAATGCATGTTTTGATCCGCTCTCAAATACTGATTATTAAAATGATGTGTATTTATCAGAGAATTTGCTGGCGTGTGGCTTAATACATGTAAGTCTAGACCGCTGACATCATGGTGTTTTTTTAATGCCTCCATCGCTGGCAGCGGCCTTGCCCTGACTGCCGGCACCAAGGACTTCCGGTTGGGTTGCAGCTGATACATGCATGATCAGTTTTGAACAGTGACTTTTAACTGCAAACCTGTAAAATTCTATTTTTTATTTTATAAATGAACAGGGTTTTAACATGCTCTACTTTAATTTTTTCAATTGTATGAAGGCCTTAAAAAGCTACATTAAGCGTAGCTAAAATTATTTATTGGACTAAAAAGGAACACAACTTCCATTTCCAGATTTTACTTTTTTTTCTTTTATCTTTTTTTTTTTTTTTTTTTTTTTTTTTTTTGGCAAAAGTTTACACTCAATTAAGGGTAAAAAATAAAACCGGCACAAATAAATGTGTGGCAGTTGCTGGAGCGTAACTGCTTCACTAAATCTAAATCCTCATCTTGGCGTTATTTCAGGTCAATCATTTTTAACATCCTCTTGACATGCAGAGCATCAGAATGAACTAATAATACATGTATAAGTGCCAGACAGCTAAATCTTTATCAGGTATTGTAAAGATACACATATGGTATGTTTATTAAAGTTGAAATAATGTAAAACACGTGAATAAATGTGCAAAACCAAGATCACAGTATATACCATATGCATTCTGATACCTTAATTTTTTTTACAAATAATAAAAGTGAATATTGAAGCTTCTTAAAGTTGGTCTTAATTTTTCATAAATAAGATATGGGGTTAGAACAGAAATAATATATTAAATCAATAGACAAAAAATTCAGTGTGAGGTAATTTATTTTATATTTCCTATGGGCATGCAATTATTTGAATATATTTGCCAGTTCTTATGTGATTAACTTTTGTGTATGTTTTTGGCTTTTTATTTTTTTTTTTTCTGGCTACTATACTTGCTTCTCTCATCCTTCCTCCATAAAATAAAAAGACACACATAGAAATATTGAAAGCCTCTACTCACTGACAGCAAACCTGTTTGTATGTGTGTATGATTTTCAAATCTTGTTCCCTTAGAATTTGCTGTTATAAAAGACAGGGAGGTCTTTTATAACAGCAAATTCTAAGGGAACAAGATTTGAAAACCATACACACAAGATTTATCTAGACTCTCATAACTGTTTTTTGTGTTAGTTGACCCCTTTATATGATAAAAACATTAGAGTCTTTATGAAAAAATAGATACGTATGCCAGCATTTTGCATACAGTTTCTGAGCATTCTAGAATTTAAAACCCGTCCGTGAACAACCACACGTATGTTCTCTCACAAACACACATACTTTCATCCTCGGTCATGCAGGTTCCCATATATACATGTTCATCCAGTCAGGAAATTGAGAGGGTTAGAAAAGGGTAGGACGACTGACTGACTGGTTGGTTATTAATTATAGAATCTGTTTCATAACGCAGGTTTTGCCATTCCTAGTGAGTGCCGCCTGCTCACACAGAGCTCCTCGGGCAGCCACAGGTGAAAGCTTGGGTCCTTCTTAGGTTCTTCATGAGGATGTGTAGCCCTAGGATGTGCGTGGCCTTCTGGATGTCAGGTTTCAAAGGCCCTGTGAACGTCTCATTTCCCAGCTTTTCCTTTTAAGCCTTTGGATTAGCCCCAACTGTTCACCATCTTGGGTAGCCACAAAATTGCACAATTGCCTGTAATCATCTAGACAAACGCTCCTTCGGGAAAAGGCCCCTCAGCCTGAGAGAGAGCTGAGTCTAGTAAGATGAAGATGGCCTTGCCCATGAGGTTTTCTAGGGAACAACCATTACAAGCTTGGGAGGAGCTCCCACTCCTGTTGGGCTCCCTCCAGTGACTGCCAGGCTGGGGGATTTCCAGGCAATTGGTGGAGCTGGAGATGGGATGGAACAGAACAGTTGGGAACGTCCGAGTGTGCTGTTCTTACTGAGGTCCGGCCATCTTACTTGAGTCAACTCACCTCAGCTTGCTCTAGGCCTTTGGTAGTTCCCACACTTCTTCTTCTTTTCTTTTTTAAGATTTTACTTATTTATTTCACAGAGAGAGAGAGAGTACAAGCAGGGGGAGCAGCAGGCGGAGGGGAGAGGGGGAAGTAGGTTCCCCGCCAAGCAGGGAGCCCAATATGGGGCTTGATCCCAGGACCCTGGGGTCACGACCCGAGCCAAAGGCAGCCCTGTAACCAACTGAGCCACCCAGGTGCCCCAGTTCCCACACTTCTGAAAAGAGTTGCCTTTGAGAATTTTTGCCAGTTTTCTCATTACTCTTTAGGAAGTAGAAAATCTTCACAAGTGCTTTTTCACTGACACACCGCGTCCCGCATTTACTAGGACATCACACTTTCTCTTAAGCGCATGAATGGAGCATCCAATTTTAACATAAATTTAAGGTTAGAAACTTTCTGGTAGTACATTTATTTTGAAAGACTGTCTTCTGAGTTAGGTGAAGATACAGTTAATTCTAGGATCCGTCAAATACGACTTATATAAAAACATTGCTCCAGAGCTCGCTGATTTCTTACTTTCTACGTCAGGTTTTGGTCTTTGTGCTAAATTCTTTAATGTGGAAGAAGAATTCAGCCGCTGGTGGATATTGGAGACACTCTTCAAGACCAGTGTGGAGCTCCAGGTGCAGGGAGCAGCTGGGCCCTCCCCACAGGCCAGCTGGTGGCTCCCTGCGTGTATGGGATGCCGTGAGTCAGTGGCCTCCCGCTCCTCCTCTCTCGTACTGAAAAGCAAACAAGTGAGCTGTGTTGTGTTTTCAGGAGGAGGTGGTAAATAATGGGGCTTTTTAAATAGTACAGTTGGTAAAGCATGAATATTTTCAGGCAGGTTTTTTGTTTTGTTTTAAAGGCTGAAGAAGCCACTTCCCGGTTCTCGGTTGTAAGAAAAACTTCTCTAATTACTAATTGTCTCTTCTGGGACTAACGTCTTCCACAGATGGTAAAATTTTGGAATGAATATTGGTGACTTTGCTGTGGATGTTGCATATACATCTACAGCCTGGCAAAATCTGCTTTGATCTAGAAAGATCGGCTCTGTCAGTGTAACACGTGGTGAGAAGCCCTGACTTGGCGGCTGTCTTGTCAGCCTCTGCTTTTTTTTTTTTTTTATTAACATAGAATGTATTATTTGCCCCAGGGTTAGAGGTCAGTGAATAATCAGGCTTACACACTTCACAGCACTCACCATAGCACATACTCTCCCCAGTGTCCATAATCCAGGCGCCCTCTCCCGACCCCCCGACCCCCCAGCAACCCTCAGTTTGTTTCCTGAGATTGAGTCTCTTATGGTTTGTCTCCCTTCCCAGTCCCTTCTTGTTTCATTTTTTCCCTCCCTAACCCCCCGACCCCCAGCCCTGCCTCTCCAGTTCCTCATATCAGAGAGATCATATGATCATTATCTTTCTCTGATTTATTTCACTCAGCATAATATCCTCTAGTTCCATCCACGTCGTTGCAAATGGCAAGATTTCGTTTCTTTTGATGGCTGCATAGTATTCCAGTGTGTGTGTGTGTGTGTGTGTGTGTGTGTGTGTTCACATCTTTATCCATTCATCTGATGATGGGCATCTAAGTTCTTTTCATAGTTTGGCTATTCTCAGCCTCTGCTTCTGTCCTTATCATGCTGCCTCCATGATGACAGCTGTACCTGAATAGGCTCTAGAAGGAAGTGTCCTCAATAAAATCATTCCTGTTAATATTGGTTGTAAAATAGTACTCAAAAAAGCCAGGGACAAGGGTGCCTGGCTGGCTCGGGTTGGTTAAGCTTCTGCCTTCAGCTCAGGTCACGATCCCAGAGTCTTGGGATGGGACCCCACATCCAGGCTCCGTGCTCAGCGGGAAGCCTGCTTCTCTCTCAGCCCCTCCCCCCTCTGTTCTCTCTCTCTCTCTCTCGTGTGCATGGTCTCTCTCTCTCAAACAAATAAAATCTTTAAAAAAAAAAAAAGGAAAGAAAACCAGGGACAGTTTTCCTGTTTCCAATAATAGCGGCCAATTTTTGTACCACATCTACTGAAGATAACTGAACGAAGTAGGTACTTCTTACAGAAACATTCGAGATGGTACAGAGCGTGTGCTCGGCACAGGTCTCTGGCGCCTTTCCCATGACAGCTCCCCAGTTGTCATCAGCAGGAGCTTTGCCATCATGGGATCTGTCACCCCTCCCTCGGATAACTTGTCTTTGCCCTGGAAAAGCACAGCCTGGTCCGCTCCTTTCCACTTAGTCCCTCTCCTCCTTGCCCACTCCGGCGATCGGATGTCTGGGTTGCCAATCTGGGTCTCTGCTCTTTCGTCCTGGCTCAGGCCCTGATGTGTCCCATCATTAGACCTTCATGGGTCTCATCCAGAAAATTCAGGCAGTATATTCAGTGTGTCTGTTCCAACCCCAAATTGACTGAATCTGAATTAACTTGAGCCTTCCTCTGCAGTGTTCCGTTCTCTGCTCTCAGTGGCCCCGCATTAAAAGGTATGTTTTTGTCTTTCTCTGTAGGATCTAAGAGAAGCCTGCAGAGATGGAAAGGAGGGATCCTTTTCATTCCCCCAATCTTCAAAAACACTCTTGAACAGAGACTTCCTTAAGGAATAAGAAAGTAAGAATAAGGTCTGAACTTTATAAGTCTGAACATGGTTAACAAGAGGGAAAAAACTGCATTAGTCCTAACTGAAGCAGGAGGCTAGGAAGGAAGGGGGAGGTGGAAGTACTGCTCTCCGATGAAGCACCCGGAGTGTCTCAGCCACAGTAACGGCCTTCCCGGAGTCCAAGGGCGGGCGGCAGATGGGGCGAAGGGCAGAGACAGTCTACGGCGCTGCGCACTGCCTGGCAGCAGGCCAGCTGCACCCTCCCCCGAAGGTCTCTTGTCCGTGTCGCTTAGAACCCCTGCTTTTGTGAGAGGATTCCAAAAACTCAATAAGCAAGTGTATAATTTATTGAAGCCATGTCTTCTCAAGGGTCAAACATGAATAATTACAGTTCCAGGATCAAAGACAGATGTCCAAGACTGCCTGCATTTCCAGTCATCACATGAAAGTTCTAGAATCGGATTATGCCAAGTCCTATCCAAAATGTGAGTAGACTATAAAGCAGCTGGAAATATCTTCTATCATTTTCATCTTATTTGTGATTCTAAAAGGTACTAACCTATATGCCTCAATGATCTACCAAGCTACCTCAAAACTTGGTGGCTTCTAGCAACATTTCTTTTCACTCATGAGTCCAACTTGGCTGGAGTTTGGTCCAAGCTGAGCTTGGTCTGGGTGGTCCCAAAGCTGAGTCATTAAAATGTACAATTTACAGGAAAGACAGGGTGGAGGGACATCTTGAAAGATACTCTGGGAACACTGTCAACATAGCACAGTTGGCAGAAGTGCTACAGGACGGACAGCTCAGATTCTTCAGCAGATAAATGACCACAGGGAAAAGCAAGAGGGAGGGAGAAGCTGCAGGTTGAAAGAGACTCCAGACACATGCTGGCCAACCAGTGAGCCCAACGTGGACCTCACCTGGGGCCCGATTCTGACAAACTCTAAAACTAATGTCATGGCATTTAAGAGACAAATGGGAATTGGAACCCTGGCTTTTAAAAAATATTAATATGGGGCGCCTGGGTGGCTCAGTGGGTTAAAGCCTCTGCCTTCGGCTCAGGTCATGATCTCAGCGTTCTGGGATCAAGCCCCGCATCGGGCTCTCTGCTCAGCGGAGACCCTGCTTCCCCCTCCCTCTCTCTCTCTGTCTGCCTCTCTGTCTACTTGTAATCTCTGTCAAATAAATAAATAAAATATTTTAAAAAATAATAATAAAAATAAAAAATATTAATATGTAATACTAAATTACTTAGTATAAAATTTCATATTACATAAAACATTTTTAGGGTGATTATTATGGTTATGTGTCATATATATATATATATATATATATATATATATATGAGCCAAATCTACAGAAAAAAGTATATCTATTATTTCCTTCAAATTAACACAGATTTGGAGAAGTAGGTGGAGGTATAGATAAAATAAGATTTGCCAGGAGTTTAAAATCCATGGCGGGGGTGGGGGGTGGTTCATGATTTTTTCCTCTACTTACTTCAGCAGCATTATTGAACTGTAGTTGCTGCACAATAAACTGCACATGTTTTAAGGGTACGATTCATCTACCTTCAATATATGTAAACTTTCCTATAAAAGTTTGAAGACAAAGAGTCTGCATGATTGTAATCAATCTGGCTTTTCTAAAAGGGCAGACCTGTGTCCATTTAGAACATAATGAGATAAGCATATGATCATCATATCCTTCTGTCCCGGAAATGTGAAAGAAATCCACTTATAAGTCTAAGAAGAGATTTAAGGGTCAGGCCCTGTGCTCTAATGATTCACTGAGCTTTCTATATTGACATTGGACAACCTTGCTAAACTCTTGAGTTCCAGTAATGCCACTGTAGCTTTTCCACAGTCCCAGGGGTCAGCAAACCAGAGCCCCCACCATGTAATCCAATCCATAGCCAGTTTTTTGCAGGGTCCACAAGCTAAGAGTAGGTCTTGAATTTTTGTAATGGGCTGTAAATAGGAATATAATACACATATTGTATAGAAACAGTATGTGGCCTGAAGATATGGATTAGCTGGCCCTTACGCAAAAGGTTTGCTGACCCTGGCTTACATTCAACAGTCTTATCATCCACAAATAGTGTCCCTTTTCTTGCATTCTAAATGTGCACAATTTATTCCTTTGCTTTCCCACATTGGCCAAAGCTTGAAGTATAATGCTGAGAAATGGTGGTAACTGAATTATTTATTGTTTTCCCCTATGAGAGAAGAAGCTTTTAACATTTTATAATCATGATGCTTTAGATTTTTTGTAGCCTTCCTTTATCAGAACAAAAAAAAATTCCATTCTTTCCTACTTTTCTAGAAATTTTAATCATAAATCTGTGGGAGAAAAACAGACAATCCAGAAATCTAACTTGAAATGATCCCAACAATTCATTGGCATGGAAGCAGGGTATTTGTACAGTGGATTCTCCTAGGAGGTTCTGAAGACAACATCCTTGACAATTTCCATATTCCAGTACCTTTCCTGTATTTTTCACTTTTAGTCCATGTTACTGTTTTCTGTCACTCAGTAGCCTCTCCTTTTGCTACAGCTAAAATCTGTGTGAGTAGATTCTTCAAACTTAAGACTGAAGAACGCTTTCAAGCTTACTTTCAAAAAGCATGTGACCAACGTATAGTACTGACAAATTTGCAGCAGAAAGAACAAGGGCGAAATCCACTTGTTTATGAATTTATTCACGTAAAGTCTGCTAAACAATTGAGACTTTTTGGAAGCCAACACAGCTACTTTTAAGTTTTCATATTACTCTTTGTAGATGTTTAGATTAACCAGATAATCCTAAGCAGGTTATTTTAGAAAGCTGCCATGCTACGAAATGTTTGTTCTTGGCATACGTGGTCGTTACGCACTACCTTCCCCATCTCAAAAAAGTCCTTTGTTAACAGTATGATTTCTAACACTGCTCAAAAGACACACTGATGTTTCGAAAGGCACTCTGTTTAATCTAATCCCATTTTAATATTCCTTTGAAAATTTTGACTGATGACTCTGGAAATTCAGCCAAGAGTGTTGTGTCAAAAACTTGCTTGAATTTATCTAGGAATTCGTAATCGGTGCTGAACCTGAATTTGTTTGCCCAAAGCAATACTGTCCCTGGCTGACAAAGGTACGCCATGGTGGCGAGCAGCTTGTCCAGGAAGTAGTGGTGGTAGACCACGTCCGAGGCCAGAACATAGTCGTAGTAAAACGTGGACCTGGGGAAGTGCTGCTCCAGGCTCTCTCCCCAGACCAGCTCTCTCACTTCTGGCAGGTGCGCTGCGCGCTTTGACGTGTTCTTCAGAAGATTGTATTGCAGGTTTCCTAGGACATCAGGCAAATCCGTTGCTGTGACCTGAGCTCCTAAGAGATAGAGAGAAAAATTGTATTTATTATCTGGAAACGTGCAGGCAGCATAGTGGACACAGACGCTCAGGGAGTCACAAGATACGGGACTGGGCTTCTCAGCTTTGTCCGAATTGACATGTGGGCTGGGCATCCTTGACCCAATCCTGCTGGATAACTTCCCGTGGGAGCCCTGCCCTGTGAGCTGTCCGATGTTAGACAGTGTCCCAAGTCTCTCCCCCATGACTCCACCCCCAGCTCGTGGCGGTCACAAATATCTCTAGATGTGGCCAAATGTCCTTTATGGGGCAAAATCACCTTTGGTTGAGAACCACTGAAATCGAATAATGTTATCATTTTTTAAGAAACAGTTGAGTGGAGTTGGGAGATTTCGGGATAATTAGCTGCTTAACAATTCATCATGTTTTTCTTTGTAAAACTCTTTATCCGAAGATTGGATCTGTTTTGTAGCACTGCCTGTCTCCAGCCTAGGTTTGTTCATTGTTAGGCATTTTAAAGCTAGTGACAGGAGTTCACAAAGCAGACCAGCCCATTTCTAGACTGGCTATGCTAGAAGTGCTGTGATAGTGTAGGCACAAGTGCGCCTCATCTGTACCCACCTCTTGCTCACAACCTGCATCTGGTGTGTAAATCTGCCTTTACCTCGGATTAACTCACTTATTTTTCTTCAAAATGTTAGTTATAATATTCACAACGAAAACCAGGAGACAGCATAACGTAGCTGTTTACAACAGGAGAGTCACAGCTCCAGAATTTCAGCTTCCTCAGTCCCTGCTGGGCCAGACAGGTCTCCTAGCCGCTCTCTCACGTGTGATTATCTTATTTTTGGGCCAACAGTACTAATTCCTAGCTCATGACACTTTGGGCAATTCCATGAGTGAAATCATGGCCAAGCACCCGCGTCGCAGCAGGCCAGACGGAAAGCTGTCAAAGCCAGCGTGTTCTGAAACAAAGTCAGGAGTAAAGAGACAAACCTAAAATACTGGCCACAGTGGAGACGAGGCCTGGTCCAGCACCAATCTCGAGAATCTTCGCATCTCGGAGATTCAGTTCCTCTGTATGTTCCTCCAAATACTGGCACAAAGCCGTAGCCTAAAACAAAATATTTGCAGTTGTCACCTGAGCATTGGAACACTGGAAAACAGTGGCGACCCGAGCCCCGCTTCCCTACTCCAAGCGGAATACTACAAGAGATGTTAATAGTAGTTGCCGTTTATTGAGGGGCTCATGAGAACTTATGCCCTCAGTGCCCGATGCGGACCTCTGGCGTAGGAAAGGCATGATCCACAGCAGAGGAACTGGAGACACAGACTCGCTAACTCGCCTCTAGCCGAAGGCCCTGGGTTGGGGTCCAGGAAGAGGAAGGTGCCTTCGGCTCTTCCAAGTCCAGGAAGGAGGCCTGAGAGCAGCAGCCTCTTGCTCTGGTTTGGTCTCACCGGCTTCCAGAACACAGCTGCTTCCAGAACACAGCTGCTTCCAGAACAC